GTTTCTTCTGCACTCTGCCTATCCTTCTGGATGCAGTGCCAGCATTTTCCCTCCCCTATTCCTCCACCTCCACATTTTTTCTTTCTTTACTTTTCCTTTCCTGCAGAAATACATGCTTAAGTTGTTCCCATGTTAAACACAGACAAAAAATAAAAGGATTTAAGTTTTCTCTGTACCATATTTCCTCTAATTTGTTCTTATCTTTTTTCATTGATAACTACATACCTTGAATGTAAGTCTGCAGCCCTTGCCCTTGTTTTCTTTGTTAACATTCCATTTCTTCTTTGGGATCCTGGAATCAGGCTTCCACTCTCACTATTAAAATCACTGGTTCCCTGGTGGCCAAATGTAAGAGCCTCTCTAGGCCTTGAGTTTTCTAAAATATTATATGCTGGCTTTCATCTTTATGAAATCCAGCTTTCAATGTCTGGGATGCCACTCTTCTGATTTTCCTACCTTTAGTCCATTTCATCTTCTACTTTGCTGCTGTTCTTCCTCTGCCCACCCAGCTCTTAAATGCTGACCCTCCCTGACTCGTCTCCCTTCCGATAGTCTCACTTATCTACATCATTTTAATGACCACTTCTACACACGTGATTCAGAAAGCTAAATCTTCCACCCAGATCACTCTTTTGAGCTCTAAACCTACATAACATAATCCTTTTAACAATGCTACAAAATAGTATTGTTTCCCACATTTATAGGTGAGGAAATTGAGGCTAAGAAAGGTAACCTCTTTGAGATCAGTCAGTGGAAATGCCAGGATCTTAACCTCTACCTAAAATCAGCCCTTTACCTCTATTAATCAAACATCTCCACCTGGTTATGTGACAGATACATCAAATATATCATATCCTACACTAAATGCCATGTTGTAATCCTGCTCTCCTTCCTTGCCTAAAAAAAAAATAAAATTAGAGAATATGAAAGCCTCTATTCTCAATCTTAGTGAATGACATTCCTTCTTTTCAGTTATGCAAGCTGAAATGTAAGGGGGATTAACATAGACTTTTCTCTGACTCCTACCCTGCAAGTCCATCTAGCCCAAAGGAGCATCAGTTCTTAAGCATCTACCTTTTTGACACGACTTGTAATCATACCCTCCCCTTTATTCCCGTTGCTACTGACATAGTTAAGAACTTTATCTTGACTGTTACTGCCATTATAGTGACAGTCTAACTCACTACTTCTCAAATTATCCGAGCTGAAGAACCAAGGTTCATTGTTTTTGTTTATTTTAAAGGTTCATTTAATTTTTAATCTGTTGTAGAAATTTTGTAGCATATAAAAAAAGAAAAATGAAATAAACATAACAAAATAGCTCAATTTTAAACATTAAATTTGACAGACATAAAAATTACTCTGTCAAATTGTTATAAAAGTGTTTGGGTACTAATAGGCTATGTATATCCTGTCCCAGATGGGTCACAAAGTTTTGCACATTGGCGGTGGTCCACAAACAACATTGAGGAGTGTTAGCTCACAGTATCTGATGAAAAGAAATGTCTTCAGTTCTCTTAGATTATAACCACATGGGCCTATATTATTTAAAACTGAAACATTTAAGCTAGGAGGTTCTTTGCTTTGGCTTATAGATAGCTTATATATGTGGATTTAAGAGGTTTTAGAAAATTCCCTGTTTCTTTAGGATCCCTTCTTTCAGTAGGAATAAATCCCACTGAGCAAGGGGTAGTCATGTGTTATGTTATAATTTAATGCTAAAATCAAAGTGTACTGACTTAAGCATCAAATCAACATTTTCTTAAATAACTTAAAGTACCTTCAAGTATCTTCGTGGAATATCTGTAATAAAAGTGATTTTCCCTGATTTGATATATTTAACTTGATATGATTGTGCATACCAAAAAAAGTACACAATATAGCAAATGGTTGATATGATCTCCATTTCTGAAAGATTACAATTCTACATAGGTATTATTCTGACTGGGCGTGAAATAATAAAAGTAAGTTATTTGGATTTAGGCAGGCATCTGACTAGACCCTTGTCAGAAGATTTGAAATTAATGACATGCAGAGAGGAGATGCCATATGGTCATACTGTAGAATATCTCTTGGCTTTAAATGGCATGGCTGAAGAATAAAAAAACACAGCAACAAAGTTCTAAGGGGACAGAATTGAGAGATGGGAGTGCTCTAAATATTAAGCTGAGATTGTACCCAGACTTAGTTTAGAAATATAGTAAATAAAACCATACTGTGCGGAACTCATTGTTGTCTGCATTGGGCCTGACACAGAACAAAACACATGGGGCAAATGCCTGAGAGCATAATCTTCCCATGTATGGCAAAAAAGTCCAAAAAAAGCGTTTTTTAGACATTTTTAAATTAAATAAAAAGCTAGTCTACAGCACTGTGCCAGGCACTAAAAACTACCATAGAAACTTTCGAATCATTAAGTTTTAAAAGCAATTTGAAAAAAATGGAATACAGCAATATTTGCCCTGTTAATGCAGTACATGACCCCAAATACTATTAACTATCAAAACAAAACACACTTTTTTTAAATAAGAAATTGGGGCACTATAGGAAGTTTAGGAGATTATATTCCCAAAAGTAGGATGTTAGAACCCTTTTACTTTCATAGTAGATGAGTAGATGGCAGATTGCTAAACTCACACCTAGAAAATGATTAAAAGTTTTATTCAAAGAAAAATTTTAAAGTAACATAACTTGTACATAATTTCATGTTGGAGAGGAGTCAGGAAAAGGCAACCTTATTGTGATCCATATGCTCCCCGAAGCAGAAATGGGTGAAGTCAAATGAAAAGAAAGTTTATTTTTTAAAGGTAATAAAGACAAAGGAATAACAAAAAGAAAATATTTTTTCTGAATTTATGTTGTAGCAAGTTCAGCTGAGGTATGGAATACCAGGTATTCACCAGGTGGATGGGCATGGGAAAGGGAGATGGTGACACTGCAGGCAGAGGAAACAGAAAAGAAAAAAAGACACGTGTAGGATAGCGTGGAATAGCTGCCTGCCTGTGCTCAAAATAGCAAGCGGTTTGGGATGGCCAGAGCATACTCAGGAATGGTATGGTAAGTGCTGGCTGGGATCTGGCATGGAGGCTGCTTACACCAGTGCCTCTCAAATTTAAGTGCAACATGAAGCACCTGAGGATTTGTTAAAATTTATGTTCTAAGAGGAGACTTCAGAGGCTGCGTTTCTAACAAGCTGCAGTGTGATGCAAATGCTGTGGGGTCACAGGCCACACTGAGCCACTAAACTGAAATTTTTATCCTAATATTTATCAATAATTCATTTTATGGATGAAGAGTTGCCATCGTTGAATAGCACAAAATACATAGCATTTATCTTAAGCTAGATATTCAGTAGTTTTATATAAGCTTTGCTCTGCTGATGGTGAAGTAATACTCTTAGCAACCACTTCATTGCAAGGTACAAAATAAATAATTCAGGACTCTCATCTTTCATTTATTTAGTTTGGGTAGAGAGATGCCATATAATGATGAAAAGAGCGTAAACTTTTGAATCAAATTTTAAACCTGGGCTTTAGTATCAATTTTATGACTAAATAGCTGTGTGACTTTATGAAGATGAATTAATCCATTTCTCTTTTTCTATTTTCTCATGTCTGAAATATAATACTTGCCATTTTATAGGATTGTTGTAATGGTTAGAAATGATATGTATAAAGTGCCTTGTAGGGAAGATTAGTGTAGGTTTCAATTTGTTAACTTTTGACATCCCTTAAAAACTAAAATTGTATGAATTTAAAGAACATTGAATGGTCTAATCCTAGGAAGTACTGATATATGGGGGATTATCTACCCTTCTAGAGTCTTTTTTCTCAGTGATTTTGGCAAATTGGAAGGTGTGGTTTGTTGTAGTTTGTAAAAGCTCCCACTGAGATCTACAAACCCTCATGGTGTGCAGTATGGCTGTTTCCCTGGGAAATATGTTGTACTTCTGAGAGCCATGGAAGCCTGAAAAACAGATTGAATTATAATTCTATCTAACTTGTATCGTCTTTTGGTCATTTTTAAAATTATTTCTTACTTATGGAAGTTTCCTATGTAATTTGCTGCTTCCCATTTGCTGTGGGAAAGAAACATTCCTCTTTGAGGAAAACAATAACCCATCCTGTTACTTAGCCACACTCAATCTTAGAAATGGGCGTATCAGTTTGTGGTGCTCCCTAGGGAGAATGAGACTCCGGGACAAGACCCACAAATACCTTGGGTCTTGCAGGTTTGAGGGCTGCTGGACAGAAATTCTGGGATCCCAGTGCCCAGACCCTGGACCGTAGGTGGGCACATCCCTTTGATCCTATGACTCTTTGCCTTGTGGGCACAGATGTAATCAGAGGAATGCCAAAGCAAGGCCCTCTTGAGCCCAGGGCAGTGTCCCAGATTGTAGGGCAGGAGTATATTAAGAAAATTAGTGGCTGGGCGCGGTGGCTCAAGCCTGTAATCCCAGCACTTTGGGAGGCCAAGGCGGGTGGATCACGAGAGATGGAGACCATCCTGGTCAACATGGTGAAACCCCGTCTCTACTAAATATACAAAAACTTAGCTGGGCATGGTGGCGCGTGCCTGTAATCCCAGCTACTCAGGAGGCTGAGGCAGGAGAATTGCCTGAACCCAGGAGGCAGAGGTTGCGGTGAGCCGAGATCGCGCTATTGCACTCCAGCCTGGGTAACAAGAGCGAAACTCCGTCTCAAAAAAAAAAAAAGAAAGTATATTATCTCAGCTATCCTTTTAAATACATTAGCCTGTTTATTTAACTTTCTTGTATTATAACTGTGGTATACTTTTATTTTTGTTTTAGTTTTTAATGAGTGACTCAATAATGGCATAAACATCTTATTTAATCAGTAGCTCTGAGATTTCGGAAATAAGTCTTAATGACTTAAAAAAATTCTTAGCTTAAATGTGGTCTAGCTAGAAGACGTGTTCTTAATATTATGAGCTTTTTTTTTTCTAACTCTGTGCCTTGTTCTTATGTTCTGGTTTTATAGATCGGCTTCAGCTCCCCAGGAATATGATTGAAAACAGCATGTTTGAGGAAGAACCAGATGTGGTAGATTTAGCCAAAGAGCCTTGTTTACATCCTCTAGAGCCTGATGAGGTGGAATATGAGCCCCGGGGTTCCCGACTCCTGGTGCGGGGTCTTGGTGAGCATGAGATGGACGAGGATGAAGAAGACTATGAGTCATCAGCAAAGCTGCTGGGCATGTCCTTCATGAATAGAAGCTCAGGCCTTCGGAACAGTGCAACTGGTTACAGGCAGAGCCCAGATGGGGCTTGTTCAGTACCCTCTGCAAGGACCATGGTGGTCTGTGCTTTCGTCATTGTGGTTGCTGTTTCTGTAATCATGGTGATTTACTTACTACCCAGATGTACCTTTACCAAAGAAGGCTGCCATGAAAAAAACCAATCAACTGAACTAATTCAGCCACTTGCAGCAAATGGGAAATCGTTTCCATGGAAGCAGATGAGGCTTCCCACTGCCATTGTGCCACTACGCTATGAACTCAACCTACACCCGAACCTAACCTCAATGACATTCAGGGCTTCTGTGACAATTTCAGTTCAGGCTCTTCAGGCTACATGGAATGTCATTCTTCATAGCAAAGGTCATAATATTTCAAGAGTGACCTTTATGTCGGCAGTTTCAAGCCAAGAAAAACAAGTTGAGATCCTGGAATATCCATATCATGACCAGATCGCCATTGTTGCCCCTGAAGCCCTTCTAGCAGGGTGCAATTATACGTTGAAGATAGAGTATTCCGCAAAGATGTCCAGTTCTTACTATGGGTTTTATGGCTTCTCCTACACAGATGAAAGTAATGAGACAAGGTATGTAGCCCTCTTCAATGATTCTGGTTTTATGCTCTGGTTTTATACTTCTGCAATATGGATCTCTTTGCCCACACCAGAGACACAAATTCTGATTTTTTTTTCATTTGGGAAGTTATGTACAAAATAGCAGAATGGTGATTTAGAAGAATATATCTCTCTTAGTCAAAGCCTTGAGCATATATCATGGTGGGGTGGAGATAGGGGTGTGCTGGTGGAAAGGGATGGATAAAGATTATATCCAAAAAACTTACCTTGAGCTTTTCATATTTTTAAGATGAATATAGTTTTCTGTCACCTCATGAAGTTTGTTGGGAAACAGAGTAAAGAGGAGTATGAGTTATTCTATAAGACATATTTTCCTAATGTGCAGAACTTTTAGGAGGTAGTTAGTGAAATAGAGAAAAAGGGCATGAAGAAGTGTGAAGTGTGGTGTGCTTACCTATATCATTTTTAATACCCTTAATTTTTACTGTTTTATCATTTTTTTAATACCTGTCTATTTTGGATTTCTGGTGGAAATTTTTTTAAGGTCTAGGAGAGACATAATTAGGTTCAGGAAAAAAAAAGGTGAGACCAAATATAAAATTATTCAGCTCTCTATTTGGACTGTATATTTCATACTTCAATTTTAGCATTCATAGCATGTAGTTTGAATTTCTGGGAAGATGGAGTTCACGCAGTGTGCAGATTATCCTTGAGTAGCAGTAATATCCATTGCCTTGTGCACAAAGTCCTCACTACGTCTGCTTTATGCAATTAGAGTGTTCTCTCATATTACTCTGTAAAAACAGTACGTGAATTACTGATGCTGACCATTTGGCTAACGTATGTTAACATATTAAGAGAAATAGAAATGAGTATTCTACATCTATCTTAAGGAAAGGTTTTGATCCTTCTTAAATGGAGAAAGAGACAAAGCAAGATCCATAATTCTATTCAGATACATTTTATTTTATTTTCCCTTCATGTAATAATTTTAAAATAAATGACATATAGCTCTGCATATCAATTCTTGCATGAGAGCTGGCATTGAACACAAATTTATAACTGCAATAGAAACTTGAAAGTTCTTGGCTTTAGTTCTCCTTTTGTAATGCCTGTTATCCCCAGGAAATGTAAGATATACATAAAAACAGTGTTCTGAGTATGCAAACAGACCTTTAGGGCAAACACCCTAGCCATCTCTTCCCATCAGATTACTAACCCTGGAATCCTTGTACCCTTTATCTATTTAATGGGAGGAATAAATGAGAGTAAGGTGATTTTTGGTATGGCCACTTGTTGCTCTTGCCATGGGCTGGATTGAGTTGTGGAAAATGTCAGAAAAAATGGAATTTGTTTCTTTAAAATTAAGAAATAGAGTATTATAAAAAGTATTTTACAACTTATTAAAATATATTAGTTTGTGAAATTCTGCTATTCAAAACAAAATACAAGTTTTAGTAAAATGAATGCTCCATCTGATAGTATATCTTGATTCCAGGTAAACATTTAGATTATGTATACCTTTCAAGATATCTGAAAACTAATTCAAAGCAATTTTTTTTTGTCTTTCTCTCTTTTAATTTTGCTTAGTTCTGTTAAAGAAGCTTTTATACACTTTTGTTCTCTGATGTATGATTAGAATACATATTTATACTATTAGATAAAGTAATTAAGGGATATATTTCTTGTTGATTGGAAAACCATTGTATGTAAATATCGAACACCTTGCATAGACACTGTTGTAAGGGAACTTTACCTTTACCTATGTGATCTAAGAGATAGAGACAGTCAGTAACCTTGGAGTTAAATCTAGAAGTTGTTAATGATAGGCTTAAAATCCTAGATAACAAACTGATACTAATAACTAGTAAATTCAGGATAGGGATGTGGTTCAGCAGTTCCTAATTTCTAACAGGCTTTTAATTCAAGACCTTTTTTGGTTTGGCCCTTGTTTTTTCTTTCTCACAGTTTTCACTTCTATGTTGAACTTTCTAATTATGATAATAGCCAGTAATCACTGGGAACTGAAGGGCTGAAAACTGTTCCAAGCCTCTTATGTTTAGTCTTTTATTCTATCTAACTCACTAAGAGATAGATGTTAACATTGTATTCATTTTACAGCTAAGGAAGCAGAGGCACATAAAGTAACTCATTCAGCATCTCATGGCAAGCAATAGCAGAGGGAGAACTCAAACCCAAGGTCATTGTAACTACAGAAGCCATGTTCTTCACCACTATGGTGCACTCCCTCTCTAGTTCATACCTCCTTTCCTTTGTACATTGTTATCTCCAGTGCTTAAAATTGTCTTGCCCCCAGTTAATTCGTAATTGTCTTGAACACTAATTGAGAAAGTGCTTAAACTGTAACTAGTATTTCTGAAAGGAAATATACTCTCCAGTGAAAGAATAGCTTCAAGTTATTCAGCATAGATAGAACAGACTATAAGTATTATCAAGCAGCAGGCTTCTCAAAGGGATTTTTATGTGAGATAGTTATGATTGGATCTCTTTTAACAACAGTTTAAGGTTTTATTTGCCTTAGCATGTTATGATCCAGTTTTTATCTAAAAGTGGTGACTCTTTCTTGTGTGAATAGTAGGGATATCATCAAACTTTATTTTCTGGTCCCTTCTCCTCCAAAATCTTCTGTTAACTAGATAAGAATGTTGGGGGAGGGGTGGTGAAGAAATGTTAGAAACATAATATGTGTAAATTGTTTCATGTATGTTGATTGCTACCTTTCTTGTAGTTTACCCAATAGCAACATTTATTTGGGCACACATCCTTACAGAAAAAAGTACACTAATTTTAAGTGTGGAATAAGTTAGGGCTATCTTGCATTTGTAATAAACATCTATTTAGGACCATATGGTATACAAGTAGTTTTTATTATAAATAGTTTTATTCGATTCTAACAAAAACCCTGGTATTCGGCAGTGGATTCTATCTCAGTCCTAATTTAATTAATATGGACATTGAGATGTGTGAGATGAAGGTTACTGATTTACCCAAAGTCATGTGGTTAATAAATTACAGTCTGGGTCTTCTGACTCCAAATCTCATACTCTCTATTTTCTTCTTATCTTCTAGTAGTGGAAATTAAGCCCTAAATAAGAGAGGCTACGACCTCCAAAGTGGTGGTTGTATATATGCTGTATTGATTTGTACCTGAACTATGCACACCAAGGCCATATTTGCCCTGATTATAGCCACATTGTGATGATCTCCCAAGTTCAGATCTGGTTTATTCTTTTAGTTAACTAAAAATCTGCATTTATCCTTGTTTCTTTTTATGCTTTTCCACCAACCTGTAATTGAGGAATTTTCTTTTTTTTTCTTGAGACAGAATCTTGCTCTGTCACCCAGGTTGGAGTGCAGTGTGCGATCTCAGTTCACTGCAGCCTCCCAGGTTCAAGCAATTCTCCTGCCTCTGCCTCCTGAGTAGCTGGGATTACAAGCATGTGCCCCCATGCCTGGATCATTTATATTTTTAGTAGAGATGGGGTTTCACCATGTTGGCCAGGCTAGTCCTAAACTCCTGACCTCAAGTGATCTGCCTGCCTCAGCCTCCCAAAGTCCTGGGATTACAGGCATGAGCCACCTGGCCAGCCTGTAATTGAGGACTTTTCTATGTGTCCTATTCTCAACAGTTGCTGCTGTGCTTAAGAAAGAGGAGGAAATTTTTTTTAATCTCTGAGGAAAGTAAAGGAAACCAGAATAGTATAGTACACGTAATTTTTCAGTCTTCATGAAAATGCAAGCTGTGAATTTGAGTTTTAGTGTCGTGAAGCCAGAGTCTGTACAGATAATTTGTGGCAATTAATGACCACCCATCTTAATGATCTTCCATCAGAAACCTTTTTAAGACCTCAGTGGCCAGCCACAGCCTACCTTTGTGGCTTCATCTCCATCCACACTAGACAGCCACCCCCAGTTTCTGAACATGCACAGCTCTCTTGCCTTGTGTTCCTGGACCAAGCTGAGGGTCAGGCTGCTATTTTTTGTGGCCCTATAATAAGATGCTGATGAACTGGGGAGGAAGAGAGTTTTTATTTCTGTAACCAGTTACAGGGAGAAGGCCTGGAAATTATTGCCAGACTAACTCAAAATTACAAAGTTTTCCAGAGCTTATATACCTTCTAAGCTATATGTCTTTGTGTAAGTGTGCATTTATCTAAAGACGTAAGTGATTACCTTCTTTTAATCTATAAGATCTTAGTGTTGAAGACCTTCCTCTGGAACCTCAGTGAATTTACTTAATCTAAATGGGTTCTGGTACTAGAGTGATTACACTTAATCTTGTCTCTTGCTAAATCATGGAGTTCCTTAGACCTCCAGTAAACTCGTTTGTGGAGGCCTTAGGGAGTTCCTTCAGATTCCCAGTAAAATTTGTTAAATCCTAAATGGTTCCTGTTAAGAATTCCTTTATTATTTTGCCATGCTTTAAGGCCCAGGAAAGGCCCAGGCAAAACTTTTGTTGGGATTTTGTTACATTCCAGCCTTTGTATAAGGGTAGTGGATTTTAATATTTAGCTTAACTACTCTGCCAGTACTGAAACAGTTGTTATGGAGTCCTGCGTTAGTGAGACCTAGCTTGCCACACTTGTTTACCCACTCTTTCCAGAGTATACTTTCTTTCCTTCTTTTTCTTTTTAAATACTCATCTTAGGTCTCATTCAGATTTTGTACAAGTTTCCCTACATTTTCTTCAACATCTAGTCAGAATTTGTTTCCTTCCCTTTGTTCCCACTGCTTTATTTTCATTGTTAGAACATGATTTACAGCGTGACATAAGTTTCTGTTTGTTGTATAGACTTCTGACTTTCCCAGTTTATTGCAAATCCTTTAATGACTGGGATTGTAACATATTTATCTTAGTATACTTGGCAGGGTGCCTTGTAGAGTAGGTGCTCAGTAACTATTTGATTGAATTTGTTTGTTTTAGGTACTTTGCAGCAACTCAGTTTGAACCCCTGGCAGCAAGATCTGCTTTTCCTTGTTTTGATGAACCAGCATTTAAAGCCACTTTTATCATCAGGATCATAAGGGATGAGCAATACACTGCTTTATCAAATATGCCTAAGGTACTGTTCTGTTCCTTGAATGTAAAATCTTTGAATGGGTCTCTTTTTTTTAAGAACATTTGAATTCCTCTTTGCCAGACTACAGCTGAGAATGATTAAAATCATGTGCATTAGTATTCTTCCTTAAAATACTTAAATAAAAATTAAAAAATATCTTCGTATCAGTTGAGAAGTCACCTTGAGGAGGACTTGAAAGAGAAAGACCTGCTGGACTTGGAATGTGTGGATAGGAAATGTGAGTGTGCACTGTGTATTAAGTTGTGCAAATATTAATATTTTGAATTAGTACAAGATTAGAGTAATATTTTCTGAGACAGGATGAATTTGCTATTCTAAACAGTGTTATTTGAGAGTGTTGAATCGTAAATGTTCTTGGGGGTTTTTTTGGTTGGTTTGTTTTTTGTCTCAGACACCTGAGGGGCTGTGGCTAGGGGAGAGGAGCATGCCATACTCAGCAGGCTATGGAGCCAATCCCATAGGCAGCAGAGCATGATCTGTAACAAGACAGCACTGTACCAGCTCCACTCTCCACACTGAGCCATACTCTTCATCTTTCTCTAGAGAGATGGATGCCTACTTTAATTCATGGTTGGAAAATTCTGTAAGGTTGCTTGCATTCCCTCCTTTTGTGTTTGCTGCCCACTTCTCTAATGACTTACTACTGACTTTGTTCCCACTTTCTTAGGGATCCTCAGCATGGCACTCCATGAAGCCATTTCAGATCATTTGAAGGGATATCACATCTAGAGCTCCTTTTTCTGTAAATGTATTTGTAGCAGTAGAGTGGAGCAATCCCAGGTCATAAGGAAGGATTTTGGTTTTGGAGGTGTTTCAGCAGGAGAAACAGAAGCACTGTGACTATCTTTAACTTAACATTTATTTAGTCATCTTTGGGACTAAAAACTTCTTGAGGATTTTCACTGTGCTCCATATGTCCTAATGATGAAGGATGGCACAACAGACTGAGACTAAGAGCCATGCTCTTTGCAGAAACTCATACTGAGAGGTTGTCATATGCTAGCATCTTTATTACTTATTTCCTATTTGAATTTTCAGTTTCTCTGTTTGTCATTATCATTTATTCCTGTAGTTACTGAACTGTCATCTTTTCCCCTTTGCTTGTAGAAGTCATCAGTCCTTCTGGAAGATGGACTTGTTCAGGATGAGTTTTCTGAGAGTGTTAAGATGAGCACTTACCTGGTTGCTTTCATCGTGGGAGAGATGAAGAACCTGAGTCAGGACGTAAATGGAACCCTGGTATGTTGATGTGGCAATTGTCTGAAAGCCTGTGTCACAAGAGGTTCAGAGGAACACTCGCTTTAATGATTCCCAGTGGCTGCTGTATGAAGGAAACAAGCTTTTAGATCACACTCTGACATGTTATATCAGAATGCTACTTTTTTGCTTAGCTGTTATTTCTGTTACTAATTTAATAACAAAGTCAATAATTTTCAAATTTTTAAAAATTTTACTTTCAAAGAGTATTTTGGTCAGGCACTATTATGTATACTAAAGCTTTTAGGACTGAGTGATAGCCACTAGCCTGAGGGGAATATTTAGATTTAAATTAATTAAATACAATTTAAAATTCACTTCCAGTGTCACTAACCATATTTCAAGTGTTCAGTAGTGTTCATACAACTAGTGGCTACATATTTGATAGTTCTAGGTTGTAAAAATTAGATGAACCTCCCCTTTTGTCAAAGCAAATCCTGATTGAGATTTCTCATCCTAGAGTAATGAGTAAGATTATTTTATTTAAGGGTCTGGTTTATCTGTATTTTGCCATAATTGATTATTTGTTCTAATTAGGCTCTCCTGTTTTTCTTTGTCATTAGTACCTGTTTGTAAATGATTATTTGATTGGATTTTATACTTTGATTTCACAGTAGAAACCTAGTAAAGCTAATGTTTTCAAATACAACATAGAAGGAGAAAAGGCATTTTATTATATTTATTAAACTAAAAACAATTTTTCTTATGATAGAAATATGATGGAATGTCTTAGTTTCTGTTTTCATATTTTTTAGCTCTATCAGGGAATATCCTAGTTTTAGGTTCTCTTTCTAAAGAGCTTTATATTAATCACAGGATACTTGGATCTTATCATTTTGCTACTTCAAAAGGGTATATGTTTCCTATTAGAAAAGTCTATCATGTCTACCCCGTACCTCTCAGAAATAAGGACAGAAATAAGGATTCTCTTGCTATTTATCAGCAGTAACCCTGTATGCCTTTAATGATGCTACTCAAAAAGTAAACTAAGTGTTTAATGGTAAGTGTAGACTACAGTTATAAGTGCTAAATAATAGTTCACACACCTTTGCATTGAAAGACTTTATGTCAAGTCTGAACTAAACATTTTTCAGAGTTCTTTCAAAAGGATATTATGACTGGCTTAAATCTGAAATAATTCAGTTAATTCCACTTTAGGTGTTGCATCACATATTTAGCCTTTGTAGCCTCAATAAAGCCTAAGAAGCACAATCTGAAACAGCCAGGTTTGCTGCTGCTTCAAGGCTCAGCTGAATACTACCTTCTCCCTGAAGTGTTTCTTTCTTTCCCCAGCTGGAATTAATCATTCCCCCTCTGATTTTCCATAGCAGTTTAATTACCTCTTTTTTGTAGTTCTTATCATACTCATTGATATAAAAAACCCAAGCACTTTTCATGTATCCCAAAATGTATGCAGTCTTGGTTTTGTTCCCCACTTCTTGTGTTTCTTCCTATTCACTCTCTCTCTTCCTCCTTCCCTCTTTCTCTCATCTGCTGTGTTTGCTTCACAATACCTGTAGGATTATATTCAGATTCATCATTTGATACTCAAGGCCATTCTTATAAATTCAGCTATATTTCTTTCTTGTTTAAAATTTATTATTCTTTTTAAAAAATTTCCCAACCATCTGCACACTGATCTTTCTTTTTTCTTTGTTGGAAACAGAGTCTTGAACTGTTGCCAGGCTGGAGCGCAATGGTGTGATCTCAGCTCACTGCAGCCTCCACCTCCCAGGTTCAAGTGATTCTCCTGCCTAATCCTCCTGAGTAACTGGGATTATAGGAGCCCACCACCACACCTGGCTAATACTGTGTATTTTTAGTAGAGACAGGGTTTCACTATGTTGGCCAGGTTGGCCTCGAAATCCTGATCTAATGATCTACTTGCCTCGGGCTCCCAAAATGCTGGAATCTTTTTAAAAAATTTTTTAGTGACAAGGTCTCATTCTGTCACCCAGGCTGGAGTGTGACGTGCAATCATAACTCACCGGTAAACTCAAGGTCCTAGGCTCAAGTGATCCTCTCCCAAGTGGCTGGGACTACAGGCATCTGCCATCATACCTGGCTAGATTTTTGTTTGTTTGTTTTTTGGGTTTTTAAAAAATTTTTTTGTAGAGATATCTTGCTGTGTTGCCCAGGCCAGCTTGACCTCCTGGGCTCAAGCAATCCTCCTGCCTCAGCCTCCCAAAGTGCTGATAATAAAGGTTTAAACCACACACCTGCAATTTCAGCTATATTTCTTATTGCTTCATTGTGAATTCTTTCATCTAGGCAAGCTGAATTATTCATTGCCCACATACATACCTCATTCTCATGTATGTGTGTGCATGTGCATGCTTGTGTGTATGTGTGTGGAAAGAGGAAGAGATTGAGAAATTTTTTTTATTTATTTACCTGTATTAGGAAACAACATGGTTAAACATAGACTCTGGAGTCTAATTGAGTTGAAATGCCTCCTAGGTAGCTTACTAGCTATGGGCCCTGAGGTAGACCACTCTCATCCTTATATACACGTATATATCCTTATATAACCATATATACACATAAACATACACACACACATATACACATATGCATATTTATGTAGAGTACATACTTCCTTTTTCATATGTAAATATATTATAAAATCCTTGCATGTCAGTATATAATCTACATTATTTTTAAAAGTCAGAAGTAAATGTTTTGAAAATATTAGCATTATACAAATAAATAATAGTTTTATTAACTTCTTCCTGTTTTAGGAAATGGGGAGGAATATAACATGCATTATATTATATATAACATGCAAATATAACAACACAAAGTTATACTTTGTGCTGACAGCTGTTCTAGCACTCATTTATAAATATTTTTTCATTTATAAATCAAATAAGGGAGATGTTAGTCCCACATTGCTGATGAGGAAGCAGTGTGTCAAAGGACTTAAGTAATTGAGCTACGATTACATAATCAGTGATAGTCAAAATTGTTTTGTCCACCACAATATGCTGCTGCTTATACCAAATGGCATGTAAGTTAACATCTGTTATTTACATTAGGTATGGTGACCAGAAATTTAAAACTTGTAGTCTGACAAAGGATTTTTGTTATGCTAACATCTCTAGGATGGCTTCTATTTTGTAATATTTGATGGGTAGGTTGATTTAACAAGATTCAGAGATAAGGCAATAGAGCTTTACTAAAGGCAATATTACTAACCAGCTAAAAATTTCAAGGTTGACTATGGATTATTATACGTGTCCTGTTCAATGTTAAATACTGCATTGTTGTCAAAAGCCTAAAAAAGAGGAACATGTATTTCATCATTTCTGTTCATTCTTCATTCCATAAATTTCCCCCTGCCTTCAGAAATGCCAGAATTACCTGGACAACTCTAGGCCAGTTGTGAAAGACATTGCCTGCTTTTGTTTGCCACTGCCTGCTTTTGTTTTTACTCTAGATAGGCATAACATGTAGACTCAGAATCTAGTCATGCGGACACCATATCTGACATTGAGCATTGAAGTAGAACCTTCACCAGTATCATCCATGTGAAGTTATAATTTTAATTTATTCATGTTTAGTCTGAAACATGACTACATGACTTTGTTCCAGATTTCCACTAAAAACATTTCTACCTCAACTGTCTTCCACCAGCCTGGGACACTGTACACAATTTATATCATTCTCCTAAAGCCATCTCATCAGTTATTCTAGGTAGACTTAGCTGTTTTTATAGGGGAGAGTGGTAGAATTTCTGCTTTTCTGTGTGTCCAGTTATCTGTTGAGGAAGACTGGTGTTTTTTTCAGAAAATTTAGTATTGAAGCTTCTGATATTTTCTGCCTTTATAAATCTTGCAGGTCATATTATTGTCCTTTTTGAGAGGATGAAGTTTTGTTCTATTTTTGCTTTTGTTATTAGGTTTTATTTTTATTAAATCATGAAACAAATAAATTAAACTTAACAAATCTGTTATCACTCAATGTTACTTCACGTGAGTTACTTCACTTAGAATAATGGACTCCAGTTCCATCCAGGTTGCTGCGATTGCCATTGTTTCGTTTATTTCTCTGACTGAATCCTATTCCATGGTGTGTGTGTGTGTGTGTGTGTGTGTGTGTGTGTGTGTGTGTATCACAGTTTCTTTATCCACTCATTGATTGATGGGCATTTGGGCTGGTACCATTTTGTAATTGCTAATTGTGTTACTATAAATGTGTGTGATGTATCTTTTCTGTATAATGACTTCTTTTGCTTTGAAAAATACCCAGTAGTGGGATTGATTAATCAAATGATGGTTTGAACTTTTAGTTCTTGAAGGAATCTGCACACTGTTTTTCATAGTGATTGTAATAGTTTACAATCCCACCAGCATCATAAAGGCGTTCCTTTTTCACCACATCTATGCTACCATCTGTTATTTTCTGATGTTTTTATTATGGCCATTCTTGCAGGAGTAAGGTGGTATGCATTGTGGTTTTGATTTGCATTTCCCTGATCATTAGTGATGTTCGGCATTTTTTAATATATTTTTTGTCTATTTGTATATTTTCTTTGGAGAATTGTCTATTCATGTCCTTAGCCCACTTTTTGATGGGGTGTTTTTTTCTTGCTAATTTGTTTGAGTTCCTTGTAGATTCTAGATATTAGCCTTTGCCAAATGTATAGATTGTGAAGATTTTCTCCCACTTTGTGGGTTGTCTGTTTACTCTGCTGATTGTTGAATACGTGTCCTTTCCCCACTTTATGTTTTTATTTGCTTTGAGAAATTGTTGACAGGTTTAACATCACTTAATGGGAAACTAAAATTGGAGTTAGACTTCACCAATGTGCTTTTCCCAATCATGAATTGTTCAACAAGTTTTCATTTCCTACCTGTTGAGATCTTCATTTTGATGTTTTTGTTTTCTGCTGTGTCTAATTTACATCCCACTTTCCCAGGTGAGTATAAAGGGCTTTTTAAAATCAATTAGAAAATAAAAGCATTGTTTTGTAAAACCTATTGCTTTGAACCTGTTTAACACTTGCCTTTTTATACTTACTGAATAAGATGTTTATAGTTTGTTACATCATATGTATTTAATTTATTCATTAGCCAAAAAAAAAAAAAAGAGTGAGCAAGAATTGCAGTTTAAATAGTAAGTTTGATTCCATCTACTTTCTCTCTTAGCATGTACCCTGTAGTGAATGGGCAGTGGGAGACATGAATCTGTTGTTCCCCTAGTTGGTTTTAGTTGCTGTGTTCAACTCGTATCACAAGTGTTTCTCTGTATAATATGTATATTTTTATAACCTGATCTTTAAAAACACACCAACAACTGAAAAAAACGTAAGTTATACCGAGCACTGGAAGAAAAACTGGCTGTGCCATACTTACTGGAAGAGAATATGTTGGTCTCTAATTTTTTTTTCCAGGATAATTTCAACAAATGTACAATTTATGCATTATGTGTTAACTTTAGAACTAACTTCATCGTAAGATGTGACTCCTTGGTGTTGAGTGCCTGCTAGATGCCAGGTGCAGTGATAGGTCCTGAAATGATGAACATTTAGTTTTGTCCTTCAAATAACTCTCAATTTTTATACCTCATAAGTAAGGAAGGGCAACCACAGGTAATGGGAGAAGAGAAGAGTGTCATATAATTAAATAGGCAAATACTTATAAATTTCTATAAGATGACCTAAAGTAGTTATTTTGAATGTTGCTAGCTTTAAAAAAGTCGGGGAGGGGATCGGTAAGTTTTTTTTAACATTTTATATGTATGGAAGGGACTTGCTAAACTCTGTGGGGGCTAAAGTAACTATAAGCAAGTGTTTCTATCCAGAAAGATCTCATACAATTCTATAGCATTTTCAGATATGCTAGTCTAGACAGTGCTACTTGACTATCATGCCATTTTAATTGTACTTGTCCTTACATGATACATAATGTTTCCATTTAGGTTTCTGTATATGCTGTACCAGAAAAGGTTGGTCAAGCTCACCATGCCTTGGAAACAACTGTGAAGCTTCTTGAGTTTTTTCAAAACTACTTTGAAATTCAGTACCCACTTAAGAAATTGGGTAAGAATCAAAGTGTCTCTGATTTTTGTTATAATTAGAACCTAGAGTTATTTTGCAAATGTTTTTTAGAAGGAAGTTCTGCCCAAGTTGTTTGCAGATAAAACCAAAAAACATTACTAATGCTTTAAAATTGTATTTGTTAAGATTATTTAGATTTCATGAATATATCCAAACTTGGAACTTCAAACACTTAAGATTATAGGGCTGTAAAAAAGTTTATAGAGCTGCTTAAGTAGGAACTTGCTTAGGACTTAGTCTGCAATTTGACTAATTCTAACTTCCAAGAAATACCTGATTCAAATACTAAGAACTGAGTAATGGGAGCTCAGGAAAGCAAGAGCATTTCAGTACTGTAGCTAGTCCTAGACAGTAGAGTATTGGCCATGAACTTTGTACTTCTTGTTCTGGGAAGCTGATTGATTGTGAAGGAATTGGGCATCTCTTTCCTCACTAAGACACAGTGGACCAGTGACTCTAAAAGGGTTTGAACAGGCCATCCTCGGCTGACATGTGGGTAGGGAGCATGTAGAGCTAGAATAAGGCAGATTCCATTTATTAGAAATATAAGAAGAATTCATTGCTTTCACAATGATAAACCACTGAATAAAATATTTTGAGTAGAAAATGCCAAAAGATGAGGGAAAGTTGATCACTTATTTCCTGTTATGTCTAGATTTGGTGGCTATTCCTGACTACCAAGCAGTAGCAATGGAAAATTGGGGTTTGCTCACCTTCCAAGAGGAGACGCTTCTGTATGACAGTAACACTTCTTCAGTGGCGGATAGAAAACTGATGTCTAAAATCATTGCTCATGAGCTGGCCCACCAGGTATTAGCAACCAAGGCTGTTACATGTCACACCTGGAGTTATTGTTAGCATTTAGATGCTAATAATTCTTCAGCCTTTTTTTTTTTAAGTATTTCCTTTTTTTTTAATAGAAAAATGCTTTTTAAACACAATTTTCCAATGAAAATGCTATCAGATGTTGATGTATGACTTTGCAGGTTAAAGCATTTTCACATCTGTCTTACTTCATAACTGCTCTAGGGTGGGTATTAATCACATTTCACAGATGTAAAAACTGAGACTCAGTTTAAATAAATGGCTTGCCGTAAGTCAAATAGCTAATAAGTGGCAGCACTTGGTCCATGTAAAGCCACTATCTCTTTGAGATTTCTTTTTCCCCCTCAGTGATACACCGCTGCCTCACCTCTGACAAATGGCCACTGCCCAGTATAACTTTGTGGGGAAGAATCCCTTTCTCTAAGTTGCACTCTTCTGACAACTCGAATGGTAGCTGTCAGGGCTGGATTTTTTTATTCATCTCTTGCTGGAATGGGGTTCCCTGTTAATTTTGTTAATTTTGGAGAGGGGGTTTCTGAGAAAACAGCAAAGGTACTGTTTGTGTGACATGGAGAGAAAGATGATTATATGGGTACATAACACCCCCATTCTGATACCTTGTCTGTTGTGCCCTGGATGAGGTGATTAACTAGCATTGGATATGGTTTGGGTGATGTCATGACAGGGACACGTCATATTAGGAATAGGATGTATTCTAGTCAGCTTATTTCCTACTTCAAACACCATGTATGAATCTAGCCCTTATGAAGACTTCATGACAAGCTGGCATATGAAGCACATTCTTATTTGCTTTAAAAATAGGTCATATAGTTAAGTTGTCTTTTGGGGAATCTCCTCTAGGTCTGTTATTTCTGAAGCCACCTGCCACCATTTGGGACTATTACTCTGTTGTTTCCTCTTTAGGACTTATAAATCATCTTCCTCTGAAAAAGGTTTGAAGATAATATCATAGAAAAATACGTTATTGTAATTCTCAAAGGTGTTTTGTTTTATGCAGTAACCTCATCTTTTTGCTGCTGATTTGAGATAAGCCTTAGGCCACACTGACCAAATTACATATCTTATAACTACTTTTTATTTCAAGGAGTTTTTAGATACATTTTTTTAAGGAGGCTCTCCTGTTACTTTTTTCCTTCCTCTTTTCTTCTCTCATAAAAGGAAATATTTTCTTCTCTTTTCTATCTCATAGAAGGAAATATTTAATATCTTCTGACTTCATTTGTTTATATATATGCCATCTTTTTTTAAGAAACAAGGTCTCACTCTCACTCAGGCTGGAGTGCAGTGGCATGATCATAGCTCACTGCAACTTTGAACTCTAGGGCTCAAGTGATCCTCTCACCTCAGCCTCCCAAGTAGCTAGGACCACAGGCATGCATCACCATGCCTGGCTTAATTTTTTTGTAGAGACAGTCTTGCTATGTTGTCCATGCTGGCTTGAACTCCTGGCCTTAAGCAATCCTCCTGCCTTGCCCTCCCAAAGCACTGGGATTACAGGTGTGAGCCACCATGCCCAGCCTTTCTTTATATGTCAACTTTATTAAGGAATGTTATTTGAATTCTGGTTTGAATCATGCAAATACTATCTTCAATTTGGGCAACGGAGGAGAAACAAAGTTATAGGCTTTCTGACTACAGAAACATCTCTCATATAGAGACTTTTTAGTTGTCATGGATGGTTGTATTAGATATAATGGAAAATAATCTTACGAACTTGATATTAGAAAGTAGAAAAAGTCATTATCTAGGAAATCTCACTTTATGAGTTGGCCAAAAGAAGTTTTAGTTTCCCTATATTCATGCTATATTCCATGTTTATTACATTGATAAATGTGCTAATAACCTTTTTTGCTTGTTTTCCCATTCAGTTAAGGTAAAATGTTAAAATTTCTGTTTTATTCTTAAAGTAAATTTATACAACTCTTATAAGTTTTCAATTAATTTGAATATGGTTTAACTGTAAGTGTATTTTTAAGATATTGTAGTCAAGTTATGGGTGACTAATATGACACTTCAGCCAATTATTTAAAAGGAATTCCTGAGGATATAAATATACTGTGAGTTGTTTTCTCTCCCTCAGTGGTTTGGCAATCTGGTGACAATGCAGTGGTGGAATGATCTATGGGTAAATGAAGGTTTTGCCACTTTCATGGAGTATTTCTCTTTGGAAAAAATATTCAAAGAGCTTTCTATTGTAAGTACACGGTTTCTTTGGCCTACTATGAATGGTAGGAGGAAAAATAGTCAAATCACATTTTCATGTATTTTCTGTGCATCTGGAGTAATGAAAATGTTTCTAGGAAGGTATGCCAAGCTTGACCTTGGTTACTGATATCTATACCTTTTGAGATTTGATAGTGAAAATTATGCTTCTATTTATTGATGTATTCAGTTGAAAGCTGAACTTGTATAGGATTATTTCACATTTTTGTCACTAAGATAAACATTTCAAGCTGTTCTGCAATATTTTCTTCAAAACAGCTGTAGTTCTTCTGCTTGCAGGAATTTAGATAAAGTTGCAAGTTCCTTTTTGCAAAAGTAAAGTGTGTAAAAAGAGAAAAAAATTAAAACATTTTGTAGAATTACTGTTTCTTTACTATCACAATGTACATTCTTGTAATAATGGTATATAAGTTGTTACAAAGAAATAATTTGCCCTTTTTAAGGTAAAAACCACATTTTATGCCTTTTCCAAAGATTAGGAATAGCCTTTCAATACAGAGAGGTATAATAGTGTTGTCACTATGGTATTAGACTCTCAGGAAATATTTCTAGTACTTAGGGATATTCAGACACACTAGCCCAGATATTATCAAGATGACTCAAACAGCAGGTGGGAAAGTGTAAAGATACCTTCCAACCTTGAAATTTTTTGACTTTCTATTAAACTTCCTGATATTGAACTTATGAACCAAGATGGCTTTTAAAACAGAAGTACTCTTAGAGCTTTTGATTTAAATTTTTTGATAGGGCTTGTTCAAAAATTTCAAGTGGTAGGAGAAAGCAACTGATGTTAATTGATTAATATCAAGTGGTAGCTAGAAATCCGTGTAAGCTACTTAATTAAGCAATGAGATACACAGTTTGACCACTTGGTGGTGCCCGGAATGTGTAAAAACGTCTAATACATGTTCTAGGGGAACTCATCTGCTGACCTCTTAAATAATTCTTTCTGTTGAAGAATTATATTTTATTTAAAATGGACCTCAGTTAAGGAAAATATATATTTTCTTAATAGAAATACTAGTCTATATATAAGAAATAAGCATAAGGACCAGTTTTTGTTCTTTCTCTTAAATTTCAGGTTTCATTTAAAAAATATATATGCTAACCTTTTTAGAATATTCATCTTGTGTACTCAGAGTTGGCATTTGTTTACTTTGGTAATAGATTCTTAGGTATGCTAATAGATTTTTAGGTAATAGATTTTTGCATATGCTATTGTTTAGGAAATGCTAATTTTTATGTGGCCATGTTATAATTGTAATTTTAAATTTAAGGAATATTAATGAAGGTCACAATCTTCCTACATTTTTGAAAGCTTATATTCTGAAGTTTAGTGACACATCATTTTTTTCCTAATGATCTTACATAATAATTAGTCTAATTCATGTAAATAATTACTATACTTTTGCCTTTGACATTATTCATGATACTCTAATCTTTTCATTTTTTCAAAGTACGAAGATTTCTTAGATGCTCGATTTAAAATCATGAAGAGAGATTCCTTAAGTTCATCTCATCCAATATCATCATCTGTTCAGTCTTCAGAACAAATTGGAGCAATGTTTGATTCTCTTTCCTATTTGAAGGTATTGTGAACAAAAAGGTAGCTAGAGTGGGTTTCAAATTTCATATGTGAGTAAGCTGCATGATTTAGATTATTTTAAAGATTAATTTTTTTCAGGTATTAATGTTAAACTCTAAAATGTTTACATATATATAAATCTTAGTCTTAACTTTTTTGTGAGTTTTTTCCTTTCTCTAATTCTCATTTAACTTGTATGACTAGTATTCCAGACAGTTAACCAGATCTTATAGCAATGCATCTTTTAAAGTCAGTTTACACTCCAGATTTACAGATAGAGTATGTTTGAGGAAGGTCCTAAGCAAGCTCTTGGCTGTGTTACTCAGAAATTAGATATGCTCTCAAGTCAGGATTGCCAAAACAAGTAGGCAAAAACGATTTTAAGAATTGAAGATTAGATTGCAGGATCTGAAACATACACTCTGGGTTTCAAAGTAAAGAAAAAGCAGAAAGTTAAACCCCATTCAAGTCACCATAGGTCAGAGAATGAAAGAATAGGAATAATAGTGTCATTCACATTTACATTGTGGGGAGGGATGAATGTTATGGCTGTCAGACTAGATAGAGAAGAAAATACATAAGATATGTGAGATACAGTCTGTGCCATCAAGTAGCTGAAAGTTTAGGTGGTTGGTACTTGTGGAGGAATAAGAGAGGTAATATGTGCTGAGTGGGGCAGAGAATTTTTTCCTAGGATAACAAAGAGAAATTTGGGGGAGGAAAATGAGAATTGAGATGATTTAAGTAATTAAAATATAGGTAAGGAGGAGTGGGATGTATAGGGTAGTCCAGGAATGGAACAATGAGGTCTGCAAAGAAAATGAAGTACTAATGGTCAAGTATGTTTTTTTCTGAGAGTCAGTGTTTGACTGCAGTAGAAGCCTCATGTGAAGAGGGGAAGGAAAGTTGAGTGGGGCCCAGTTGTAGAGGGCTCTGGATACCATAAGGAATCCTTTTTTCCTGTGTAATGGGAAGCTTGAAAAGACTTTTGAACAGAGAAATAACTTGATTAAAGTTACTATTTAGGAAAAGTAAATTGGTTTCAGTTTATAAAGTAGATTCAAGTGGAAAGAAATGTAAAGTCAGGAAATTGCTGCCAAAGTCTAGGCATGAAATGATAAAAGTTTGAAATGAGGAGTGCTAGTAAGGGTGGAAAGAAAACAATGGGTATAAAAATACTGGGCAGGGAAAGTACTTAAATTATTAGTGACAGGGTAAGGCAGGTAAAGAAAGAGGCAGAAATGTTTTTCAGGTTCAAACCTGACTGACAGGAAGAATTACTACACAGGTACTTTGAACTAACAAGAAAATCAGGAGTTCAGTTAGCTATATGAAATCTATTCCAATTAGAGCTACTGCTATGATTTTTGAAGCCCATAATGGACCCGTTAATACAGAAAATTTAAAACTTGAGGTTCTGTTATTATATCAAACTTAAACAGTGCAGTTATTTCAGGATTTGAAATCCTGTTTAAAATGCTCTAAGTTCAGTATATAATAACAAAACACAGTCATAACAGAGCTCTATCTGCCTCTGACCCCAGCCCTCTTATTCCAGAATTCAATGTCTTCTGAACATGTAATTTCCACATCACAGTCAATCCCTGTCAACATGGTAACTACTTGTATCAGAATTGGGAATTTGGAAAATATTCTGTTAGAAAAGTAGGATACTGCATAACTTATCCAGTTATTCCTACTGGCGCTTACTTGGAGTATTGTGTGTAAGAAGGTAAGTGCCAGTAGGGAAATATGTTAGCAGACATATTCTGTTTGGTCTTTATAGTCATCAAGCCTGACTCTGATGCAGGTTGCCTTGCAAGAATTCATTCATTTAGCAAATCTTACAAGTACTAACCACGTATCAGGCATTGTTCTAGGTGCTGGATTATATCAGGGAAGAAGATGGACTGTCTCTTTTGTGAAGCTTTCATTTCAGGAGTCAAAGGTAGAGACAGCCAGTATACAAATGAATGAATAAATAGGTGTTGTGTTAAGTAATAAGTGCTAACATGAAAATAAAGTGTGATAAGGGAAACGAGAATGACAGAGGAATATAATATAAAATATATTTATAATATAATATGGTTGAGAAGTTTTCCTGTATGGTGACATTTGAACACCACCTAAGGCATGAGGAATGTGGTTCTCTTGGGGAAGAATATTCCAGGCAGAGGAAATAGCCACTGTATAGTGCTTGTGTGCAGGCCTGAGACTGCTATCCTTTGAAAGACCTGCTTGCAAGGTTGGCCCTTGGGTGCATGTGGGAACTTGGATTTTGGGAAAGTTCCCACTATTACATTATAAGAGTGGCTCACTGTGCCTAAACAATGTAGTTTATGCTGAACATCTGTTTCCCTTCTGGGTATCTTGGAGTTTTGGTATGTGCTAGGTGGAAGGTACCTTCATGACTACCCCACAGTAAATATCCTGGGTGCTGAAATCTCTAATGAGCATCCTGGGTAGATGGTATTTCACATGTTGTCACAACTTGCTGGAGGAATTAAGTGCATCCTGTGTGACTCCACTGGGAGAGGACTCGAAAGTTTTTGCCTGGTTTCCTCTGGACTTTGCCCCATACACCTTTCTTCTTAGCTGATTTTACTTCACATCTTTTCACCATAATAAATCATAGCAGAGAGTATGATTATATGCTGAGTTCTGTGAATCCTTCTAGTACATAATCAAACCTGGAACTGGTCTTGGAGACCCCCACATGAGATATGAGATTGAGAGAGATATGAGATTGAGGTATAAGATGCTTCCCATGTTCAAGTACCAGCAAGGATCCAATGTTATCTGGAGTAGAGTAAGCAGAGGGGAAAGTAGTAGATGAAGTTAGAGGGATTGTAAGAGGCCAGATTATTATAGGGTTTGCTAAGCCATGGTAGGGACCTTGATTTTATTCTAAGTGAAATGAAAAGCTATTTGATAGGGAAATACCATGGTATGGCTTATTTTGTAAAAGATCACTCCAGTCTTCAGCAGTACATGAAGTTAAGAGGACTAGTTAGGAAGTTATTATAATAGACGGGTGGCAAGATAATGGCCTGGACAAGAGAGGATGTTGTGAAGGTGTTGGAGATACTACTGAACTTGGAATATATTTTAAAAATTAATCCAGTAGAATTTGTTGATGAATTAGATGTGAAATACAAGAGAGGGGTCAGGACAACTTTTAAGATTTTTGCCTGAACAACTGCAAAAATTGAGTTGCCATTTGCTGAAATGAGGAAGACTTATTTAAGAGTAGATTTAGGGGGAAAAGGGGGAAAAAACTTCAATTTCTGAGTGAATATGAGATATGGATTAGACATCCAAATGGAGGTACCAAGCAGGCAGTTGGGTATGAGTCTGAAATTCAAGGGGTAAGAAATATGGTTAGATATATAAATTAGGGAATCATTTGGAAACGATGTCCAGTGAATAGGCAGAGAATCAAGAGTAGTGCTCTGCCACTTTCAAGGAGGAGCAGGTGATCAGTTGTATCAAATAGGTTGATAAGATGAGCCTGAGAATTCACATTTGTCTGGCACCAAGAAGTTTACCAGTGACCTTGATAAAAATATTTCCAGCCTGGCACAGTGGTTTACACCTGTAATCCCAGCACTTTGGGAAGCTGAGGCAGGTGGATCACCTGAGGTAAGGAGTTCAAGACCAGTGTGACCAACATGGTGAAACCCCGTCTCTACTAAAAATACAAAAATTAGTTAGACCTGGTGGCAAGTGCCTGTAATCCCAGCTACTCAGGAGACTGAGGCAGGAGAATCGCTTGAACCCAGGAGGCAGAGGTTGCAGTGAGCTGAGATTGTGCCATTGCATTTCAGGCTGAGTGACAAGAGTGAGACTTCTCTCTCAAAAAAAAAAAAAAAAGAGGCCGGGCGCGGTGGCTCACGCCTATAACTCCAGCACTTTGGGAGGCTGAGGCAAGCGGATCACAAGGTCATGAGACCATCCTGACCAACATGGTGAAACCTCATCTCTACTAAAAAATACAAAAAATTAGCTGGGGATGGTGGTGCATGTCTGTAGTCCCAGCTACCTGGGAGACTGAGGCAGGAGGATCACTTGATCCCAGGAGGCAGAGATTGCAGTGAGCCGAGATTGCACTGCACTCCAACCTGGCAACAGAGTGAAACTCCGTCTAAAGAAAAAGAAGAAAAAAACAAACCTTTCCAGCAGAGTGAATGAAAGAGAGCAAATGGAGATGGCACATTGAGGACAACTCTTTTGAGGAGGTTTACTACAATGGGGGAACAAAACAATACTGTGGTAACTGGAGGAGGGTGAAGTTAAGGAAGGATATTCTTTTATATGTTAAAAATTACAAATGTTACATCATGGTTTTTTTTTTGAGGGTCTTGCTCTATCACCCAGGCTAGAGTGCAGTGGCATGATCTCAGCTCACTGCAACCTCCGCCTCCTCTGTTCAAGCGATTCTCTTGCCTCAGCTGCCTGAGTAGCTGGGATTACAGGTGCATGCCATCACACCCAGTTAATTTTTATATTTTTAGTAGAGATGGGGTTTCACCATGTTGGTCAGGCTGGTCTCAAACTCCTGACCTCATGATCTGCTTGCCTTGGCCTCTCAAAGTGCTGGGATTACAGGCATGAGCCACCATGCCCAGCCTGTTTTTGTTTAATTAATGGGCATGTTACAATATGGAGGGGAAAATTGGTGATGCAGAAGAAAAAGGACTGATGGGGACAACAATGAGTACTTAAATTTATAGAATAAGCAATAGCTACAAAGTGTGACATAGAAATGAAAGTAATAGGTAATAAATTTAGTTATGTGTACAAGTAATCTTGACATTACTACATTTTTATCAAAAGTGAAATTTATTCAAAAACTATTTGAGTACCTACTATTTAGTGGGTATTATTTTAGTCATTGGAGTTGAGCTTTTTACTTTCCCCCTCAATTAGCATACAGTGTAGAAGAGGAAATAAATGTGTAACAGATACAGGATGTCATATAAGTTGTATTGAAGATGGAGAAATGTGATTTCTATTTCAAGTCAGGGGGCTTCACAGAGGAGGTGGTGCTTATTTCAGGATTGGGAATGATGACATGTACATGAATGGAAATAGTGTGGCCTTAATAGTATGCTTACTGTCCTATACATTTGTTAGTTCCAAGCATTTGAAGTGACTCTACAAGAAGAAGAGAGATCCTGGTTATGTCACAACACAATATACTAAAATAAGAAATTAATAACCTACCTAGGAGGGAGACTTTTGAGAGCCTTGCCAATTTATTGTGCTTCTGCAGTGTGCGCTCATGGATTCAACGGGTAATTTAAGCACTGGCAATGGAGGTGTGGATGCCACAGAGAATTTGGCATGTTTTTCTATTAAAATGTATTTATAAATACTTAGCTTTTCAACACTAACATTGAAACAGTGAGTATACCGATAGACCACACAGAATGACTCACGGTTAGAATAGTGCACATGGGAATCTACTCCATTAACTCTTTTTCAAATCCCTTAAAATAATTTTAAGACAGTTGAACACAGTCCACATCTAGTTATATGAAACTAAGTAGCAGTGTATTATAACCAAGTTCTGTATATGAAAGCATATTTTTAGATTGACTGTAGTTTGAATTTTAGATTCTCAATTCAATAATCTATAGTATTCTGTTATTTCTTCCTTTTTTCTCACTTTTTTTTGAATAGGGAGCTTCTCTCTTGTTGATGCTGAAAACTTTCCTTAGTGAAGATGTGTTTCAACATGCTGTCATTCTTTACCTGCATAAGCACAGCTATGCATCAATTCAAAGTGATCATCTGTGGAATAGTTTTAATGAGGTAAGTGACCTAGGTAATTTTTTTAGCTCTTACTATAAAAGCGGGGGGTCATCTATTTATACTTTTTAGCATGTGTGTAAGTTAAGTCTGTGGTACCAAGCATAGTTATTTGAGAAAGAGAGGGATGGAGCTTACTATATAAATATTTATGAATGGAGCACTGAGTTTTATGTCAAAAAATGGGAGTGTTGTTCTTAGCTGCTGGAAAAGATGTGTGTGGGCTTGGGTAACCAGTTTTTTGTCTGTAACTTAAACTCCATTCCTATTTTGTAGGAAAGTTGTCTTCTCTGTATTAATGAATATTACTATATTTTCATTACTTGATTTTTTTTCCAAAAATCTCTTTTCCTATTCTTACCCTCTTTTTTCTCCCTTCTTTTAATGATTCTGTACTCTGCTCCATTCATCTCTTGACTTGTGACTATTCATCTAGAGTAGATGATACATGACAAGGTGACTGCGTATTATCCTTAGAGGATTTTGCTGTTGGAATTTTGTCATTCCTGGAAATATTCTAGCAAACAGTATAATTATCTAGAAGTTACACTTCAAAGCAGCGCATGAACACGTCCTACCTCATGCATGTATGCTGACTGCATAACCCTTATAAGCATCTGCGTTTGTTACCCTGACTTAGATTGATAGATCATAATGCTTTGAAAGATCACAGACATGGCTGGGCCTGGTGGCTCATGCCTGTAATCCCAGGACTTTGGGAGGCTGAGGTGGGCAGATAACGAGGTCAGGAGTTCGAGATCAACCTAGCCAATATGGTAAAACCTCGTCTCTACTAATAATACATAAAAATTAGCCGGACTTGGTGGCATACACGTGTAGTCCCACCAACTTGGGAGGCTGAGGCAGGAGAATCACCTGAACCTTGGAGGCAGAGGTTGCAGTGAGCCAAGATTCTGCCACTGTACTCCAGCCTGGATAACAGAGCAAGACTCTGTCTCAAAAAAAAAAAAAAACCCCAAAAAACAAAAAAACAGAAAGAAAGATCACAGACTTATTTGGAAATTTGATGAAAGTTCTGGCCGTATTACTCAGAATAACCACATATATGCAGAACATCACACGCAGTTTCAAAGTTTTACTGACTCTAGGTTAGGAACCCCTGCTCTGGATCTTCCTCATATACTCTTTCTGCTTCTTTGCCTCATCTGAATCCTGGTATTTTCTAGCTGTTAATCTTTTGCCCAGAAGATATACCTTCCCTACTCTCTGAGTTCTCTTTGAGAACTTATTACCTAACAGTTGTTTCTAAATCATTGTTTTTGTTTCTCTGACCATATAGTGCATTTCATTTAAAAGCCACATTGTTTACTTTATACTTACTGTCCTTTCTCTTGACATTTAGAATATATTTCTGCCTTTCTCATTGAATGTAGCTTTTGCATCATGGTGTTTTTCTGTCCCAACCTAGTTCCTAACAGTATCCTCAGGTTTTTCAGCATCCATATCAAATTATGCATTGGCCTCTTTACTTCAATACTGCTTCGACACCCCAAACCACCTTGCTTTTAGACAAGCTTGTTTTCTTCTAATCCTCTGGTTCAGAAATAAATAGGTCAGAGCTATGAGAAATATAAGATTAATTAAAATGGGAAGATTTGCTCCATCCTTTTGTGCTTTAAATAAATGGGCATGTGGTGATAGAGGTAAGGCCTGACATAAGAGACTGATATGATCAATTTAGGTACATGATGACTTTATTTCTTACAATTCAAATTCATATGTAATCTAGAAAAATAATTTTAATCCTAAGTTTAACCCACCTGCTTCAAAGAGACCATTGTTCAAAAATTGCTTCTTAGTCGTTGATAGTAGATGTCTTAGGGGTTGTGAGCCTTAGGGAGTCTATAAAGCTCTGACACTAGGTTCTAGATTTTTATAGTTAAGTTCATATATTTTCTGAGAAACAAAGTCTGTGACTACCAAAGTAGTTTACCACTGTTTTCCAGAAAGACTTAAGGCAACTGACCTGTTTGTCACTCTTCCATTGCTGCTGCTTCCTGGCACTCCTGCAGTATTAGGTCCTAAGAGACTATCATTATGGAGGTAGAGGGTAGGAGCATAAAGAGAAACCTAGACTCAGGTGATTCATAGGATTGAGTAGCAGTGCTTCTAATTCTAGACTGTATGTCGTTATTCATATCTTCTAGATGATAGTATTGTGATTTGAAAGAATACTTATACCTTCTTAGGGATTTTATTCTTGATGGATATAGGGATTTTAATGAACTCTGAGTTGGTTGATACATATGCAGCTTCTCAGCCTAGTGCCTCTGTCACTCACTTGGCTCTCACTTAGTTCTGTTTCAGGTTACATTCCTTTGAGCAGTTGCTCATTTACCTAGATTAGAGGTGTTAACATTCATGCTTCTTTTTTATATTAACATTAAATGAAATATTACAAATGTAGTAGGAAAAGAGGGAAGGGTACAGATAAACTATAAGTTTTTTAAACCAATTTTTATTTTTAATGAAAAAGAATTATATGTATATATATTTTATAGGTCACAAACCAAACACTAGATGTAAAGAGAATGATGGAAACCTGGTCCCTGCAGAAAGGATTTCCTTTAGTGACTGTTCAAAGGAAAGGAAAAGAACTTTTTATACAACAAGAGAGATTCTTTTCAAATATGGAGCCTGGAATTGAGCCTTCAGATGCAAGGTACATGCCCTCTTTCTTTTCATGCCATCTCTTTTGCAACCTTAGGTGGAAATATTTTTAAGTGTTTTGTAATCATACGTTCTTGTGAAACCTAATGAGATTATCTTTTTCTAGGAATGGCTTAACAAAGTTAAACCTTTCTGCCAAATTAAAACCAAACAAAACAAATCATGTGTAACTAACTGAAATATTAGAATAATAATTTTCCAATATTTTCTCTTTACAGCCACCTGTGGCATATTCCACTATCCTATGTCACTTACGGAGGAAATTATTCAAAATATCAATCGGTGTCATTACTGGATAAGAAATCAGGTTGGACTATAATGACAGTTTTGATAAGAAATTGGAAATGGCATAATTTTTAAAATCTGATCAGAGTGCATATGTAAGATTACACTTTCCAGTGTGCACACTGTCTGAATTGGTTTTATGAATGGCATATATAAAATGCAACTAACATAAGATTGATTCTGTATATCATGCACAAAACTGGCCTTTAGTCATGTGAAATAAGGTACAAAAAGTTGCAGAAAATGTGCTGGCATTCCTGACAGAAAATAGCAAATGCCATGTTTTTATATATATATATCCAAGATTAATATTTTGTTACAAAATAAGAGGAGTTTCTTAAAGTATCTTCTCTCTACCTACCAGGGTTGGGTTTGGGCCACTGCATTTTAATAAGATACACCTAAAATAATGTATGTGCATAATTAAGTTTGATTCATGATCAGATTTCGATTAAACAGTTATTGCAATATGCCCTGCAGACATAGTATATGTTTTTGGGAACAAGAAAATGGGGCAAGAAACTATGATAGGAATGGGGAGGAAGAGAGTAAAATATAAACATGGTGTGTGCTTACCTACAATATAAAAAGCAATTGAAATATAGTTTTTGACCATTTGTTAAATACCACTATGAGTGTCACACTTCCTATCTTCCTCTTAAATTACATCCTAAAGAAACACAAGGCTCCTGGGTTCCGTAAGACCCATTAGTGATGTTTTGGATTGATGAAGGGGAAAATTTCTTGTTTGAATTTGGATCTGGTGTCAAAGCCTATATTTTTGAGGGGTGAGTGTAGCTTAGGGGTAAGGGAAGAGACTTTGGAGACCGCCTGGTTCAGTTCTTAGCACTACCGTTGATCACTTACATGATTTCAAGTGAGTTATATGACCTCTCTGAGCTCCTCATGCCCTCAGCTATACAAGAGAGATAGTAATTATACTTACTTTATATAGTTGTGGTGAGGATTAAATGATTTCATTTATATGAAGCACCTGGAACATGTATTATATGCTGTACCAATGTTAACTATAATGAATGTTATTGAAAAAGTAAATCTTTAATATAATATATCCATATTACATAAAACCCGGAAAATGGAGAACAAATCTTATTACCCTGTCAAAACTATTCTCATGATTATTTGTTTCCAGCCATTTTTAATAAATATTTGTACTAGGTCAAAATCATTATGTATATATGATTTCTGTATCTTGCCTTTTTTTTTTTTTTTTGAGACGGAGTTTCGCTCTTGTTTCCCAGGTTGGAGTGCAATGGCGCAACCTCGGCTCACCGCAACCTCTGCCTCCTGGGTTCAGGCAATTCTCCTGCCTCAGCCTCCCGAGTAGCTGGGATTACAGGCACGCGCCACCATGCCCAGATAATTTTTTGTATTTTTAGTAGAGACGGGGTTTCACCATGTTGACCAGGATGGTCTCGATCTCTTACCTCGTGATCCACCCGCCTCGGCCTCCCAAAGTGCTCGGATTACAGGCGTGAGCCACCGCGCCCGGCCCATCTTGCCTTTTTTTACTTAACATATATAGTGATTGCCTTAACATGCTTGAGTCACCATTTGTCTTTATAAAAAATTGCCTTAATTAAATATTTCAAATCTTAAAGATTATTCCATTATATAAAATTTTTTAAGGAATGCTTCTCAAAAATGAAGACTGCATTGCCATTTGTGATTTGCTCCATATAACTGAATTGCCCTTTTATTGTGTCGTTACAGTTGATAATGCCTCCTGAAATATATGAATATGCCAGTTTCATTGCCGTTACCATAGTGGAGAGTTAAAGCAGCAACAATCTAATTATTTAAAATTCTAGGAGTAGTGGTAATGTCATCATATCTTTGATAGCATAGCTGGAGGTGCAAGGAATTGCTACTGTCTTTGAGTAAACAAAACTCTAACTTTGAATGACCCCTAAAAGGATAGTCTGACCCAAGAGAGAACAAATAATCCCATTTCCCTATATCCTGCAGCACAACCAAAACATGGCTGGAGCATTTGCAAGAAACCATTAAGGAAATTTTGCAAACTTTCTGATAGTTCATTAATTTTTGATGGTATTAGAAATAATTGAACAATAAGAAATCTGCTTTTATTATCTCTGGGGTTTTTTTTTTGTTTTGTTTTGCTTTATTTTGTTTTTTTGCTTTGCTTTGTTTTGTTTGGTTTTGTTTTAGAGTTGGAATCTTGCTCTGTTGCCCAGGCTGGAGTGCAGTGAAAATGTCATAGCTCACTGCAGCCTCACACCCTCTTAATTTACATCCTAAAGAAACACAAGGCTCTTGGGTTCTGTATGGCCCATAAGTGTTGCTTTGAATTGATGAAAAGGGAAAATTTCTTGTTTGAATTTGGATCTGGTGTCAAAGCCTCTATTTTTGAGGGGTGAGTTAGCTTAGGAGTAAGGGAATGGGACTTTGGAGACTACCTGGTCAAGTGACCCTCCTGGGAGAAGTTAGGACCACAGGCATGTATCACCATGCCTGGCTTAATTTTTGTATTTTTCGTGGAGACAGGGCCTATGTTGCCCAGGCTGGTCTCAAACCCCTGGTCTCAAGTGATCCTCCTGCTTTGGCTTCCTAAACTGTTGGGATTACAGGCATGAGCCACCGCACGTGGCTCGTCTTTACTTATGAGCTTGTGAAACTCTCAAAGAGTTTAACCCCATAGACGACCGCATATTCTACTGCTTTAGTCTTCTTGGCCCTTACCTGGCATTTTCTGCTTTCGCCACACAAAAATTCTGTCAGCAACTCAAACATGCTATACTGCCAGTTGTCTTTAGGTTTTTGCCTATGCTGTTTTCTCTCCTTGAAGAACACCCTTGCCTCCTCACTCCCTTGGCCTACTCCTGTTTATTCTTCAAATCTTAGCTCAGCTATTGCTTGCTCTAGGAAACCTTTCCTCCCTTGAAGACAGGTTAGATGCCCTACTTAGGTTTCTTAATAACATTCTCTACTTCTCCACTCATAATATACTGTAAATACTGTTCACTTATATCTATCCTCAAAATTAGGTAATTCTCCCATTGATGGTAGGGTTTATGGCTCTATGAATCACTGTAAATCACTTTTAGCACTCAGTAGGCACATACAAATTCATGTGTTATGATGAATTACTAAATATTAATCCATAATGAAATGACTCCAGTTTCACTATAAAAACTTCCAGGAAAAGAACATGCAATTAATATTTATTGTGCATAAAAACAGCTGATGGGGCCATTTTTCCAGTCTACATATTAGGAAATTGTATTTTAAAAAGTTTTCCTCTTCCCTTTCTTCCTCCCTCCCTCTCTCTCAACCACATTTTACTCGGACCTAAGATCTTTTAACTATAGGAGATTTTCATATCAAATGCACAACATTCATGTTTCCAAATGGATGTCACTATCAGAAATACTGCTGTGAAAGTAAAATATATGTCATTGGAATAAAAGGCAATTACTTACCTTATATAGTTGTGGGATGAAAGAAGGAAGGGCATATAGTAATTAAAATATTTATCATGTCCATTCTCTGCTCTTGCCTTTTTTCTCCTAATAAAGGAGAAAGAAAGGGGTATTAGAGAAGGGAATGCTTTTGAACAAGGAGTGATACAGTTCAATAGCATGTATGATGTGAGCCCTCTAGAGCAAACTCTACAGGAAATTTTGTAACTTTGTAGTAAAAACATGTTTTTTTAGTTTCAGAACTTTAATTTTTTTGTAAAACAGTAGTTGATTTTCATAGCTCATTGACAAATGGTTTTTAAAAATCACTGCTAGATTATTTCATCTGGGCTTCTGCCACTTAATATTGCAGTTGCTCACTCTTTTTTGCTACTCAATAGGCTGAAAATTGAACTGTTAATCTGTTAATGATCATAGTAAATTAAAAACATGTGAGGGTAGCCTCATTCACATTTGAACTGCAAGATGTAGTTACTTCTTTTGTGTGCAAAGATACTATTTTTTGATACCTGTAGTTTTAAGGTCCATGATTCTGATCATTCAGAAGACCTAGTGACTAATATGTTGATTCTTTAAATAGTAACTCTGTCTTCGTGCTGTTGGCTGCACTGCTTTATTTTGTGTCATCTCAATGACAGTAATAATGTCCAGTATATTCCCAGTTGTATTCCTCCTCTCTACTGTGGACTTGCCTAAGTTTACAACATGGCAAGTTGCTTATCAACCAAGATACTCTTTATGTATTTCAGTGTTTTCTCTATCTATCTAGTGGAACAATTGCCATAGCTATCATTCCTTGTCTTCTTTTATGGGCAAGGGAGATTTTAGTCTCTGTAGCCTTTCTTGCTGGGGTTGTTTGTTTCTTTTCTTTACCTTTGTTTTTATTAGAGACAGGATCTCTATCACCCAGGTTAAAGTACAGTGGCACCATCATAGCTCAATGCAGGCTTGACCTAGTGATAGACCTCAAGCGATACTTCTGCCTCAGCCTCCTGAGTAACTGGGAGCACAGATACGTGCCATCATACCTGACTAATTTCCATTTTTTTGTAAAGATGATGTCTCACTATGTTGTCCAGGCTGGTCTCAAACTCCTAGGCTCAAGTGATCCTCCTCTCAGAGTGCTGAGATTACAGATGTGAGCCACCATGCCCCACCCTGGGGTTCTTGCTTGATAAAAGCTCCATAGGATATAGTGTTTGGTGACCAGAAGAGTGTTGATATTATTAGCTAATAATAAAGGTAATTTTACTTAGTCATAGGTTTGCTAAAAATGGCTCCAACTTGGAACAGCCACTGTTGCCATCACAAGTATTCCTTAAAATTGCATTCTGCCCTCAAAAAAGGAATAAACCTTATTTAATTGATCTTTCCCATTTGTTGCTATATCAGCAATATAACAGAAATAAGTATGGAATTGTTTTAGTAAAAAAGACTGGTTAGTTTATTAAGACATGATCAGAATATCTTTCATCTTAAACACTGTTGTAATAGTATAATTGGAATAACAAAGATAATAAGGGCATCTGACATATTTGAGTAATTCATGTTTTTGAAGTTGACAAACCCTAAGGCTTCAGGTACTAGTAATATAATCTTTAGTTCCTAAGATAAGACTTCAGGTACTAATATATACTCTTTAGGTTGAAAATATGTTTATAAAGCATTTTATATACAAAAGTTTCACACAGAATTATAATGATAGTGAACATTTTAAAACAGACTACATTTTAAAAAATAGGAGATTGGTTAAACTTGAAATGGAATGTTATGAAGATATTTGAACACTGCTTATAAAGACAATGCAAAAATGTGGGGGGGGGGTCTGATAGGTGAAAAAAGGATAAAATAAATGCATATAGATACACTGTATAACATATTTAAAACAAGTATAAGAAAAAACTTGGCAAGAATTACATTCCAAAATGCTATCATGGTCTGAGTTTATTCTTTTTATCCCTGTTCTTCTTTTTCTTATAATTAAAATTATTTTAAGTATTTGTTACTTTAAAATGGGGTAAAAAAATTACATAATAAATATCTACAAACTTTTATCTAGACTTGATTTAAACTATTTATTGTGACATAGTCATTATTTATTCCTTTACTTACTAATTAAATGGTATTTGTTGAATACCTGCTAGGTATGTTGTTCTAGGGGCTGAGGCGTTAGCAGTAAACGAAATAGTAAGCTTATGTAGCTTATATTCCATTAAAAGCAATACCTCAAGATGCTTAGAAACATATCCCTATTATAATTAAGTCTACATCCTTGTTGCCAGCTTTAAAGGACATTTCTTCATTAGCAGTTTTAAGGATTTTAAAGATATGCATATATTTTGTGGTCATTTAGCTCTTAGCACTTTGTTATTGGTACATTATTGACGTAACACCAGAGAAATTTCTAACAATTCTCCCAGCATTTATGGTAGAAACCCAAAAAGTGCACATCTTTTCCTATTATTTTAACCTAATTATTTCTTATTTATCCCTAAGGCGATCTTAAGCCTTCCCTATTGTTTATTTTGCTAGCTTTAGATCATGTGACTTTTCGAAATGGCTTTGTTTGTTCTTCCTTTGCTAACATGACAAAAGACAGAGGCTGAAAAATGGAACACTTTTTACACAGTTCTGTCACTGTTTTCCCCTGCTGCCTCATCCTACACCTTTACTTTCTCCCTCCCTCTCTCCTCCATCCATAACTTGGAAGCCAGTTCAGTGCATGGATACCATGTATACTTTCTCTCTGGGCCTTGAGCACTTGGGTTCCCTACTATACTTTCTTCACTTGGCCAACACCTATATATTCTGAGGTCTCTTAGAAGAATGACAACTTACAGGCCATTTCTTGCAAGAAATCACTCCTAACTTTCCCTAGGAGAGTGAAGCATTTTTCCTCTGTGCTTTTGTTGAATATTGTCTTTTCTTTTTCTGTCAGTAGCGCTTGTATGATACCATACTTGCCTGGTTACTTTAGACAGTGAGATCTCTAAAAGCAGAGACATAACTACCTTGTTCACCATTTGATTTCCAGCACCTGGCTTAGAACCAATAATGCACAATAAATAAATAATTGTTAAATGAATGTTCTGACCTTCACTAACATGAAAATAACTGTACTTGGAGATAAGCATTTTTTTCTTACTAGAATGATTAAATATCAAAATAAAGTACATTAACTTTGAAACAAACAAAGCACTAGTGTAATTTTTTTTTCTGGCCTGATTGTCTTCTCTCTCAGTCTCTCATTTTTTGGTTTCTATTAGGTGTCATCAATCTTACAGAAGAAGTGGAATGGGTCAAAGTCAATATAAACATGAATGGTTATTATATTGTACACTATGCAGATGATGATTGGGAAGCACTAATCAAACAATTGAAAAGAAATCCTCATGTTCTGAGTGACAAAGACCGAGCCAACCTTATCAACAACATCTTTGAACTTGCAGGGTAGAGTATACTTAGTTTGAGTTTTTTCTTTTTTTAAACAAGTGTTATTGAGGTAAAGAACATATATGAAAAACAGTTTGAATGAACTAGCATGTATTGGTACAATTCATTTTGGAGGATTGGGAAAATATAAGACCTGTGCTTTGCCTCCAGGGACTTTATAAAACATTAGCTACAAACATACTGAACCTTTAAATAAAACAGGATTTAATAATAATTCATGACTAGATACCAAAAACAGGATACATATTTTGTTGAATAAACTGATATAGGAGTTCAGGCTTTATTTTGTTTCATAAGATAATTATTTTCAAGCAGGAGTTGGTTTAAGCATGAAGCTTAGTGCTTACCCGTTGGTTTTGAGGGATATCTCTGATGGCTGGAGCCTCCTTATCTGTACTGCTTGCCTCCCCAACTACCTCATGAATTATAGAATTCCAAAGCCAAAGATGACAGTGACCTCATGTAAAGATATTCTCTGAATAGAATATTACCAATTTAGATTGATGATAGCCTTAGAAACACCAGAACACTTCAGGTCAGAAGAGTATTCCTTCTGACCTCCTTTGACATTTCCATTTTGTCTCATTTTTCAATGAAGTACCCTTCTTACATCATCATAGCCATTATGCTGTGATTTCTATAAAGTGGTTAATTTTTTAAAATGTACTCACCATAAATTCACATTAGACTTTATCTTAACAAGTTTGAACAACATTCAACAAAAATTTTTTTAAAAAAAATTCAGATACTCTCTATGCTATACTGTCTTTCCTGAGAAATACAACTAATTAATAAATAAAATTAATACTATTCATCTTTTCTAACCCAAGATATTATACTTTTGCTAAGTCAGTAGCAATTTACAGGAGACTTAGGAATAAAAAAAAATGAGCTATCATTTATCTTTCTCTTGAAATGCTTCCTTAATCTTGGGCCACATGAACTTAATCAGAGATAATCATATTTAGCTTAACTTTACAGAATGCCACTGTAAGCTTAAATTTTTTGTCTTCAAGACTCATCATCTAACCATAAGTTTTTCTCTTGGCGTGCATAGAGTTCTTCCGTGTGTCTCTGCATATTTACTTTTTCTGTTTTATCCTTTAGCCTAGGCAAGGTGCCACTCCAAAGGGCCTTTGATTTGATTGATTATCTTGGAAATGAGACTCATACTGCACCCATAACTCAAGCCCTGTTTCAGACAGGCCTCATCTATGACCTCCTTGAAAAAGTGGGATCCACGGAGCAGGCCTTGAGACTGATAGTAAGTCTGCCTCTTTGCCAACTTCTTGTTTTTCTTTAATATTGTTATTCACGGTTCCATTTTCAGCCATTAATAGGCTGAAAAAGCAACCAGTTAAAGTCCATTTTCTTTATTTTGCTGCTTGTGAAATTGTTACTTAAAATCAAGATGTTGCTTACTGTGAAGAGCTGATAAAGGCTTAGTATGCTATGGTCTTGTTTGAATATCAAAATACAGACCTTTGACACCACTATCAAAATGAGGTTACATGAGAATTGACTTTCATTTCTCTGTTCAAATCCTGTTTTATTTTTGCATGATAAATGCTTGAAATAGGCCCTTTTGCAAAGTAGATCTCCCCATTAATTTTCTAGTGGTCATTATAAAATAACAGATTAAGTTTGTATTGAGAATATTCCCCTTAAGAGATCTTGCTGATAACTGTCTAAATGATAATGATGATGGTGGATATGTTTCTTTGCAAAGCACTGATGGAATCTTAGTATCAGAGGCCATTTTACCTTTCTTAATATCAACTGCCTGATCTTAACAGTTGTTATTTTAGATACTTTGAATATTAAACTGTTGACTGAGACTCTAAAAGCTTAGAAGAGAGTGATAAATTATTTGGTTTTGGTTTGCTTTATAAACTAGTGAGATTTCCAGGGACCTAGGCAAAAGGCAGCTTTCAGGGAAAGGAAGGCAGTATTAGACCAAGAATTAGAATAGGTCTTTTGGAGTTTTGGTATTCTCACTGGTAAAAGGAAGGGGTTGGATTAAATCATTTATTAAAACAACCTTCTTTCTGCCTGTATTATTGCTTTACTGTGCATCTCCTGTTCAGTTTTCACATCACCTGCATAATTCTCAGTGAGGGGAGGGAATGCAGGGCAGAGTAGCCATATGGAGCTTGAAAAGCCCTCTTTCCCCAAAAGTTTCTGATCTGACCCCAGAAGAGTTACTCCATCCCTAACCATGAATGAGATGCTTAAGTTAGATGATTTCTGAGGTCTTTTCTAATTTTTAAGATTTTTATCATTTTCTGTTTCACAAGGCTTTCAGCAGCAGCCTTAATAGAAACCAGTGCCTGGAACATGACCCAGCCGGTAGTGACACTCAGTAAATGTTGAGTGAATAAATGAGTGAAACACACCAGAAACAAACGCATTTGAGTGCTTTTACACACCATGCTAGTACTTAATGTAGATTGCCTCATTTAATCCTAACACAATGCTAAGGTAGATATTTCAACCCCCATTAAATAAATGAGGAGACTGTATAGCTTCCTTAAAGTCATTTACCTAGTAAATGAGAAAGCTGAGATTCAAACCGAGATTAATTTCACTCCAAAGACTGATATTTGTGATATATTGCTATTTTTAAAATTAATTTGTGTCCTAGCAACGTTGTCTTTCCAGGATACCTTTTGTTAGAAAAATTAAAATTTTCTTCCTGTCATTCTCTTTTGAAAAGCTTGGAGACCATGCATTTAAGGTTTCAAGTGACAGACCAACATCTAGTTGTTCTCCAAAAAGTGAAATTGTCAACTCAGGAGTTATATTTTGTATCTAAAATGTTAATGGCTTTTTAAAACAATATTTATGTGCCTTTCCAAGAAGTATGCATATAGCTTACTCATCTCTTTAGGTCAAACCTTAGAATCCAAAATTGACTTTCTGGTGTTAGTATAGTAGAGATTGGCCATTAGTTAACCAGTTCAGCTACTGTTGATAGGCATTTGTGTTGTTTGTAGTTTGGAGCTATCATGAATAGCACTGCTATGGTGTTTTTGATCAATGTCTTTATGCATTTCTATGGGGTATATGTCTGAAAATGGATTATTGAGTCATAACATATGCATAGTTAATACTGTACTGTCAAATAGTTCTTCAAAGTTGTACCAATTTACACTCAGCAGTGTGTGAGAATTCTGGGTGCTCTATTTCTTTGCTGGTAATTATTCATACTGAATCTTTTTTATTTTAGCCATGTGGATAGGTGCATAGTGGTATTGCAATTTTGACTTTAATTTACATTTTTCTACTGATGTGAAGATGAATTTCTTTTTGATATATATATTGACCATTGGATGTAATTTTTTGAAATGCATATCTTTTGCTTAAGTTTCTATTAAATTGTCTGCCTTTTTCTTGTTGATTGGTAAGAGTTCTTTATCTATCCTAGATATGAGTCTTTTGTTGGTCATGTATATTTGCAAATATCTTCTCCTATGCTGTCTTGCTTTTTTTATTCTCTTAATGATTTTTTATTAATATGAGCTTTAAATTTTAATGTAATCTAGCTTATGAAATCTTTTCCTACCCCTAGATATTTTGTTTTCTCTTCTGAAAACTGTTATTTTATCTTTTACAGATAGATCTATGGTCCATCTGGAATTTATTTTTGTGGATGGTGTGAGATGGATACCAAGATTTAGAATATTATGGATATCTAGTTATCCCAGCACCAGTGTATTGTATAGAATTATGTTGGAGGTAATTAGTATCATAGCAACACCATTTGGGGTAGTATATTAATTTTCTAGGGCTATCAAAGCAAGTTACTGCAAACTTGATGTCGTAAAATAACAGAAATATATTCTCTCATAGCTGTGGAAGCTAGAAGGACAAAATCAACGTATTGGCAGAATAAGGTTTGTCCTTCTGAGGAAGAATCTATTCCATGCCCCTCTCCTAACTTCAAGTGATTGCCAGCGATCCTTGATATTCCTGGGCACGTAGGTCCCTCACCATGGCCTTTGCCTCTGTCAACACAGTGTTCTGCCTGTGTTTCTGTGTCCAAATTTCCCAATTCTTAGATTAGGGCACACTGTAATCCAGTATGACCTCATCTTAACTTGATTGTACCTGCAAAGACCCTATTCCTAAATAAGGTCATATTCGTAGGTTTCAGGAAGACACAAAATTTGAGGAAATACTATTCAACCTATTACAGGTAGCAATAAATAATATTACTGTGTATCACTCACTTTTTTTCACTATTAAAGGGCAGTGTTGGTTCTGAATATACACTATGAGGAGGCAGAATATTTTTTGATTCTGAAGCTTCCCAGTTAAACTTCATAATGGCAGAAGCCAGTCTTCTCCTTGCCTCTCTGTTAACTCAGTTTAGAGCTTAGTGCTCAGGAAGCACTTGATACTTACCTCTTCCTTCAACTGCATCTTCATCCCAGATGATTTCCAGCTTTCTGAGCAGGTATGTGTTTGTTAAGAACATACCTCAAGGAGGGATCCAAGGCACTGATGGATAGAGGGCAAGGGCAGAAGACTTAGTATGTGTTTCCAAGATTAGATGCCCTTTTACTGCTGTATGTCTTCATATGGTTAGCTAAAAGCCCAGTTAACTTTAGTTCATCAAGAGGGAGAATGCGTCTCTTTAACATTCTTATTCTAATATTAGGGCATTCTGGTAGCATCAAAACTCTCAAACTAGGAAATGTGACACTCTACAGTTAGGAATTAGGATGGCAGACATTTCTGAATCTTTGGATACTATGTTCAGATGTATTAGTGTCTAAGACTGATTTCTAATTTAACTTCTATATCATTGTAACCAGAGCATTATGTACATTTATTGGTCATTTTGTTATGTAGGCTGCATATGACGTATGCTGCATTTTGTGATGCTGTGGTGTTGTGATGGGTAGGGTCTGGAGGCACATTTCAATTGTGTTAAATTGTTCATATCTGATGTTAACATCTGATCCTAGCCATATTCCTATTTTGTCACTTACAAATCTGTTATTCTTTTACATATGAGGCATTGGTTGGATAAACCTTTTGAAATAAAAACTGACATTTCACTTTTAAGAAACTCAATTGACCCAGGAAAGAACCCCCTGGGCATATCCGTGTAAAATTAAAGCAGTAAATCAAAATGTAATATACAGCATAAGTGCTAGCATCTTTCCCCGTCTGCTTCATTTTAAAAATAATTTTATATTATTGTTGTTGTTACATTTTATTACAAATCCAGTGTTTGTAGCTTGTATAACCCATCAATTTATTTTCTCTCTCCACTTGCCATTTCACTTTGTAAAATCATAGAGTTGGATTCTATTGTCGAAAGAGCTTAAATCTAAAAAAAATTAATTTGGAGTCATAGAAAAACATTTTATTTCTAAAAGGGAAAGATAACTTGAAGCGCATGCTATGCTTCATTAATATTAATATTAATATTAAAAATAAACCTGGATTACTTATAAAAATGATGTAACAGCAGGATTTTTCTAAAAATTAATTATTCTTTTTAAAAAATAAAATGTTTTGCTCACGCTATAATTTGAGATATATTTAAACAACTATTTTGAGAACTCATCTTAATGATTTAGTATGGAAACTAGTAAAAGTACTCACTGTAATTCCATGGTGTAACTTGCTCAGGAATTAGCCTTAGCCATCTTCAAGTGTCAGATTTCATTTGCTTCCATGACTTTTAAGTGCCATTTTTTCCATTGCTGCCTTTGTGTTTTAGTAAACTCTCAATGAGTATTGCCATTGTTCTTCAGTGAGTTTTAAAAAATAGGATTTCAAGCATGTGATTTTTTTCTTACATTCTTCATTTGTTTCTATTTGACAGTTATGAGTAGGTTTTAAATTTCTTTTTTCTCCAGTCATTTGGGATGGTTTCTATTATAATATTATCGAGAAGTAAGGCCAATGAAGACACTGTATAGTAATGAAGTCAAGTGTGTCTAATGGGATTGTCTCCATTGCTTGTCTGTTGCTTGCATTGTCAGTCAGCATAGCAAATATTTCTCCACTTCATGTCCCCCTGATGACTCAAAAGCTTTACCACTTATGCATTCCACAAGGTGTCTGTTCTGTGTTTCATTGCTTTTGTTCACAAACACAAGCGAGTTGACATGTTGTCACAAACCTTGAGTCTTTTTCCTTGCAGGTTCTTTTTTTTTCATTCTCAAATTCAACTCCACAGGAAGCTTATTCAGAGTAAGTCATTGCTAGGAAAATGGCCTCAATAGTTAAAAAAATTTCCAAATTTGATTCATTTTAGGTATTGGCAGTGGTATTCAGTGGTACTCACTGTCAATATCTAAAAGAAAGGAAGAAAGCAATGATCTGTGAAGAACTTGAGCTAAACTTCTGAAGTTAAGTGTTTTTGTATGTGGTCATTTGTGGTACATGATTGCTTGAGGCGAGATGTGACGATGGTGGTGGAAGTAAAGAAGTACTAGCGGGAAGAAATACACCCGTGATGATTCCTGCAGAGGGGGTGTCTGTTGCAATTTTTTTTCATTTTGATTCTCCTTATATAGCCATGAAAGTTTTCTAAAGAATACCTAGAAACATTTTTTATATCAGAATTTTTGTTCCTTCTAGTGGCATTCATAAAAGTATATTTCATATGATGCTTTTTATATCTCATGTGTCCTCACCCCTCCCCATGCACAACTTGCAGTATGGAAATACTTCCATGTACTATTAACAGCTTTGGTGTTTTTAAGTGGAGAAAAATGAAAAAGTTGTTTGTTAGTACCTTAATACTGCAAGTATACGTTTAGCAATGACATCCAATACCAATGGACTAGATAGTAGATGATATTAATAAATATCTATTAGTTGTCTTAAGTGTGATAAGGTTATTATGGTTCTGTAAGAGAATGTTCTGATATCTGTGAATTGTATGCCAAAGTATTTATAAATGAAATAGCATATCTGTATCTCACTTTCATATTGTTCAGCTAAAACAAGAAAAAAACAAATGTGTGTGTATATGTGTGTTATACACACTTGGAAACAAAGCAAATGTAAGAATGTTAAAAACTGGTGCATCTAGATTAACAGTGTATGAATGTTCATTGTACTATTTTTTTGTAGGTTTGAAAGGTTTTTTTTTTTTTTTTTTTTTTTTTTTGAGACGGAGTTTCGCTCTTGTTACCCAGGCTGGAGTGCAATGGTGTGATCTCGGCTCACCGCAATCTCCGCCTCCTGGGTTCAGGCAAGTCTCCTGCCTCAGCCTCCCGAGCAGCTGGGATTACAGGCACGCACCACCGTGCCCAGCTAATTTTTTGTAATTTTTTAGTAGAGACGGGGTTTCACCATGTTGACCAAGATGGTCTCGATCTGTTGACCTCGTAATCCACCCGCCTCGGCCTCCCAAAGTGCTGGGATTACAGGCTTGAGCCACCGCGCCCCGCCAGGTTTGAAAGGTTTTTAATTAAAAACTTGGGAGAAAAAATAGACTATAAACGACTATTCTTTCCTGCAGGCCTCAGTTTCTTGCTAATTTGGTTAATTTGTTATAAAATCAAACTAGCTGATAATGTTAAATATGCCTTTAATATTGGATTCAGAAACATTTAAACATCAGTAAAGTATATTTAAAATTTCTATCATTGCTTTATATAGGTTTGTATATTCTAAAGTGACAAGGTCACGAAGTTCTGACTTCCTTCCAGCAATGGGTATAAATGATACTTTTTGGCATCAAAATAACTTCAAGCTGAGTATATGCAGCATAAAGGTTTCCTACTGCACAGGAGTCATTAATTTTTTTCCTGAGTTAACATCAGTAAAAGTCCCCCTTAGCTATAGCAGCCTTATGCATAACCTTTGTTATTGAATGGTTTCATCCCAGCTGTATGTGGGCTTCATTTGCCAGTTGATATTTAATGAATAATATCTATGCTTTTTTTTTCTCATTGGATAAATGTTGAGGAAAAGAGATCTAATTGTCCTGATTTTTTTCTTTTCTTTACTTGTATTTCTTTTTTTTTTTGAGACAGAGTCTTGCTCTGTTGTCCAGGCTGGAATACACTGACGTGATCTCAGCTCACTGCAACCTTCACTTCCTAGGTTCAAGTGATTCTCCCACCTCAGCCTCCCTAGTAGCTGGGATTACAGCCAGCTGCCATCATGCCCAGCTAATTTTTGTATTTTTGTAGAGACAGGGTTTCACCATGTTGGCCAGGCTGGTCTCGAACTCCTGACCTCAGGTGATCTGCCCACTTTGGCCTCCCAAAGTGCTGGGATTACAGGCATGAGCCACTGTACTTGGCTGTAATTGTCTTGATTATTTCTGATTGTCCTCATTATTATTAAGCCATTACAATCTATTTTGTCTCTCTAGGGCAGAGTATCTAAATTACTTCAAAACCAAATTCAACAACAAACTTGGACTGATGAGGGCACTCCATCTATGCGAGAGCTTCGGTCAGTCCTGCTAGAGTTTGCTTGCACCTACAAACAGGAGAATTGCCGCACTACTGCCATGAAACTGTTTGATGACTGGATGGCATCCAATGGAACTCAAAGGTGAAGTATACTTCTACTCAGATGAATTATCTTCTTTTTCTTTACCTCACATCATATACAGAAACCAAGGTAATCTCATCCTGGGTCATAAATGTTACAAAACTGAGTGTAGGTAAACTCTGTGTATCTACATTCTGAAGTCAGACTTTTTAAAAAATTGTGGTAAAATACACATAAAATTTACTATCCTAACCATTTTTACTGTATAGTTCAGTAGTGTTACATATATTCACATTATTGTGCATTTATCTTCAGAACTTACATATCTTGCAAAACTGAAACTATACCACTGAATGATTCCTCACTCCTTCTCCTCACCAACCCCTGGTAACCACTATTCTACTTTCTGTTTCTGTGAGTTTGACTACACTGTATATCTCATATAAGTAAAGCCATATAGAATTTGCCTTTTTGTGAATGTCTTATTTCACCTACCATAATGTCTACAAGTTTCTTCCATGTTGTAGCACACATTAAGAATTTCTTTCTTTTTTTTTTTTTTTGGAGACGGTGTCTTGCTCTTTCACCCAGGCTGGAGTGCAGTGGTATGAGCTCTGTTCACTGCAACCTCCGCCTCCCACATTCTAGCGATTCTCCTGCCTCAGCCTCGGGAGTAGCTGGGATTACAGGTGCCTGCCACCATGCCCAGCTAATTTTTGTATTTTTAGTAGAGATAGGGTTTCACCATGTTAGCTAGGCTGGTCTTGAACTCCTGACCTCACACAATCCAACTGCCTCAGTCTCCCAAAATGCTGGGATTACAGGCATCAGCCACTGCACCTGGCCGAAATTTCTTTCTTTTTAAAGGCTGAAAAATTTTTTATTGTATGTGTGTACCACATTTTGTTTATCCATTCATTCATGGATAGACCTTTGTGTTGCTTCTACCTTTCGGCTATTGTGAATAATAATTCCATGAATATTGGTGTGCAAGTATCTCCTAGAGACCCTGCTTTCAATTCTTTTGGATATATACCCAGAAGCATTATTGCTGGATCATATGGTAATTTTTTTGAGGAACTGCCATATTGTTTTCTACAGCAGCTGCACCATTTTATATTCCCAACAACAGTGCACAAGCATTGCAGTTTCTCTACATCCTTGCCAACACTTGCCATTGTCTGGGTTTTTTATAGCAGTTACCCTAACAGGTGTGAGGTGATAAACAAGTCTCTTAATTTAGAAATAAAACGTAGCAGGTAGAGTTAGCAGTTAATGGAAATGCTTTTGGTGGTAATTGGTTCTCTCCACCTCCTTACTGGACACTATGGAGAGAAGATTCAAGCATTAGATGAAGAATTTGGGTGGGGGATTTGGATAACCTTTTGAGGTCTTTCCCAGCTCTGAGATTTTAATAAAGGGAGTACACTGTGTTCTTCCCTGAACCCCATTTACTGTTCTATTTCTACCATAAAACTTATCACACTGAATTTTAATGCATATATTTATTGCTCTATGCTTCATAATAACCTGTGAGTTCTCAGAGATTAGAGGCTCTCATGTCTCTTCTGCTCCCTAGTGTCCAGCCAGTTGCCTACCTGGTTCTTTGTGAGTGCTCAATGAATATTAAATTGAACTGATATATCCATAGTTGCTCTGCTAGAAAAGTAGCAGTCACTGAATTAAACTTTTCCTTGACCCTAAATTGTGTACCCAAACTTTGTAATTATTACTGACCCTTACACCAGAAATTCCACCACAGCCAACTCTTTGCCTTTGTATTCAGAATATTTTCTTGTTATTCTCATGTTTGACCTCCTCTCTTACAGGTTACCTACTGATGTCATGACAACTGTGTTCAAGGTTGGAGCAAAAACTGAGAAAGGCTGGTCATTCCTTTGGGAAAAGTACAATTCTTCAGGCTCTGAAACAGAGAAGAACAAAATACTACAGGCACTTGCCAGCTCAGAGAATGTGCACAGACTTTACTGGTATGAATCCACCCAAGGAATATTATATAGAAACTAAAAGAATACAAGCACTGTGCTCTTGGGCAGGAGCTCATTTTTGAGGGAATCTCTTTTCCTGCATTCTGTTATAGGCCAGGCCTAAGTTGGGCAGTGTGGTGAGGAGACTACAGGTGCTGGGATTTATCTTTATGGACTAGTATAATATGCTTTGCCCAAAAGAGATTGCAAGATGTCAGGAATCACAGCCCCCTCCTACTCCTTGCTCAAAAAGTCTTCCTCCCCTTGGAATGTTGTCTCATACACCACAGTTGGTACTCCATGTTTAGGGGCTGAGGCATTGATCTGTGCAAGCTGTCATTTTAAAAATGCAGACATTTCACAAAAAGATAACATATCAAACATTCTAGGTTCTACATTCATATGAATTTATTTGTCAGACTTTTTCTTTTTAATATGTAGTGATAAAGGTCCAGAAGTAGGAGTGTCATATGGCTGAAGGAAGGACAGTAAGTAGGGCCTTCTGACAAAAAGCACAGGCAGTGGTGGAGTAGAGGAGCTCTGCATAGCCAAGAGGAATATGGAGGTAACTGGTGTAGAGAGCACAGACGTTAAAAGTCACACCGAGGATAGAGGGAGGCTCCTGGGTCTCATTACTTCTGTTGTATAATTTTGCTGAGATAAATCTTAATAGCTTCTCAGAGATGTCCTCAGCACCTGCCCAGACCCACTTACCAAAAGATATGCTGTAAATAGGCATTTTATTTAAAGTATTAACCAACCTCCCACTTAAGCAAATAGAGAAAAATAATTGTTTTTATACTGTACTAGTAATACACTAATAATGCCCACAATAAAGCATTCAAACAGTACCTAAGAATATGGAGTAAAATATCAAAGTCTTTTCATGATCTTTCACTTCCATTCTCATTTTCTCTGTTAACAACAGTGTCAGTCCTGGTCTTTGTATTCATCTGGAATAGATATATGTACATATGTATGTATGTACATACATACATACATACATATTTAACTACATTTTTTAAATGTCATTAGGTTTATATTACATTCAGTGTTTTTGACAGTCTGTTTAGTGAATGATCGATCAGTCTATGAGATTTGCCATGTCATTTCATGAAGCCTGCTTTATTAAAAAAAAAAAACCTAAAGTGCTACTATAGCTTCATAGTATTCTGTAGTATGGATCTATCATAATTTATTTAACCCAACACATTTTGTTGGCCTTTTTTTTTTTCCCTTCTAAAAATACTGCCTTGGGGTGGGGGGTGGTTTCTCACTATAAACATATAGTATAGCATAGTAGATGAGAACTGCTTTCCTTCAGATGTCAGACTTTAGTATTTATTACTGTGTAACTGTGGGTCAATTAGATAACCTCTATAGCTTCATAGTATTCTGTAGTATGGATCTATCATAATTTATTTAACCCAACACATTTTGTTGGCCTTTTTTTTTTTTCCCTTCTAAAAATATTGCCTTGGGGTGGGGGGTGGTTTCTCACTATAAACATATAGTATAGCATAGTAGATGAGAACTGCTTTCCTTCAGATGTCAGACTTTAGTATTTATTACTGTGTAACTGTGGGTCAATTAGATAACCTCAGTTTCTTCAACTATAAAATTGAATTAGGTAGCATTAATAAATACCTACTTTACACCATTGTTGTGTCAAGGATTTAGAACATTATTTAGTACATAGTATCAGTAAATATTAACTACAAACATTAATAAGAGTATATTCTGAAATGTATCTTAATTTTCAAATATTTCAAATGGCCTAGTTTTTTAAGAATAGCAATATGGCCGGGTGCAGCGGCTCACACCTGTAATCCCAGCATGTTGTGAGGCCAAGGTGGGCGGATTATGAGGTCAGGAGATTGAGACCATCCTGACTAACATAGTGAAACCCCATCTCTACTAAAAATACAAAAAATTTGCCGGGCATGGTGGCAGGCGCCTATAATCCCAGCTACCTGGGAGACTGAAGCAGGAGAATCGCTTGAACCAGGGAGGCAGAGGTTGCAGTGAGCTGAGATCACACTACTGCACTCCAGCCTGGGCAACAGAGTGAGGCTCCATCTCATAATAATAATAGTAATAGTAATATAATATACCTGCCCATTCAAATCAAATAAGGTTTTTACCAGAAAAAATACCCACCTCCCGAATTATAATAAATTCTACCAGAATTTATTTCCTAAATGTTTTCACTATTTCAAAACTATTTATTGTCATGTGACAATATAGGTAAATGCTTATTTCATTGGTGAATTCTTCATTTAAAAAAATGACATTTTCAATCTATAGATCAACCGTAGACTAACTGAACAATTATTTTTCTTGAGTTGCTACAGAGCTTTAATTAGGAAACCATACTACTTTTAATCAAAGTTCAGTCATCACTTATTCATGAATAATAATTTTGGAGGCTAAATCTGCTTTGTTCTTCAGGTTAATGAAAACTAGCCTTGATGGGAATATCATCCAAACACAGAAGCTGTCTTTTATCATTAAAACAGTGAGTCGACGTTTTCCTGGATACTTACTAGCATGGGATTTTGTCAAAGAGAACTGGAATAAGCTTGTACAGAAGTAAGTTTCTCAGAGAATTGTTAACTTTTTGTATTCTCAAGTTGTGCATTTGAAAGAAGTTCCCAGTGTTGTGTTGGCTCACAGAAGTTAGGATTTGCTGTGAGGAAAAATATTTCCATGAGAGTTTAACTGAAAGATCTGGAAATTTTCACTTTTGTTAACGTAATTTCATAGCAGGAATCACTTAACAGTAGCAGTCCATCTAAGTTCTAATTAAGCCTAGCCCTGTTGGCACCAAGTCACTTAGCTCAGCATGGCTACAGACTATAGCAACCATTTAGCTATATGCATATTGAAAAATACCTCTGCATTGCCAAGGCATCAGTTAAGAACTCACATTCACTAGATGCAGATGTAGGTTTTTTGCTTTTTTCTCTCATTTAAATTCATAACGGCATTTCTGGGTGTTCAGTGTGATCTTCGATGATATTAAATGGATTAATAATTCATCTGCATGTTCTGAACTCTTCCCTTTTTCTGCCCACCTTTCCTTACCACCAGCAGTAAGTATGCTTGGGACTACCCTGGTCTCAGCTGCAGTTCCTGGGAGGAGGATTCTGCTCTGCCTTTGCATTAAATACTTTGCTTTGCACTCAGCAACAACGCTTTACAAACAGCTGCCTAATTTTTTTGCTCTCATTTTTGTGTTTCTTCAGGCTCCATCTGGGGTCCTATGCCATACGAAATATTGTTGCTGGATCAACTTACCTGTTTTCAACAAAGGCACATTTATCTGAGGTTGGTTGTATAAAATGGTAATACAGACACTGGGCAACCCTCTGCATCCCCTAGCCAGGGTGCTCAATTTAAGCCAGATGGTGGATTTTTGTGCTAATTCCTGTCTCTTGTCTCTCTCTGTCTTCCTTAATCAGTACTAATGATTCTGCATTGTGATTACTTCTAGAGGGTGTTATATATAATAATGAGGAAAAATTCTGATTCCATTCTCTTCCCTTGTCTCCCTGATACAAATAATTTAAGTGGTCATAAAATTGTTTGGAAAAATTCCATTCTAAGGGTGAATTCATAGCACTAAGCAACAACTTTTGGACTCTACCTCATTTATTATTACTTAAACATTTCGTTGGCTCCATTTTAAATTAGAAAAATGTATCCATGTGGGAGTAAAAAGAATTCCTTTGTGAAATTTCGATATCACCATACTTGATTGGGAACTCTATGTAGATATCTTGAATATTAAAGTACTTCTTTCTGCTGCTTTCAAGACAGCAGCACAGCCATCTCTAAGTTAAAGCTTACTTTAAAAGCTGGAGTTACCTGAGGTTTATTGTCCTTTTCTTCTTTTGAAATTCTTCTGTGTGGAACTTACAGGTTCAGGCATTCTTTGAAAATCAGTCAGAGGCAACCTTCCGGCTTCGTTGGGTCCAGGAGGCTTTGGAAGTCATTCAGTTGAATATCCAGTGGATGGAGAAGAACCTCAAAAGTCTCAACTGGCTGTAGCATGCACAACCACACCTCATTTTGTTGCCCATTCAGAGAGCTTGTAAGCTTGGGCTCTGCTGCTTTTGCAAAAGCCAAGGTAAAGCCAGGATCGCTGCCAAGTTGTTTGCACTCTTAGGAGTTCTAGTTAGCTCAGGGCCTGACTATTTTTCATCCGTCTTTTCTGAAATGTCTTTGGGCAGTATGTAGTTATTTATTACAAAATTATATTCACCTAAATGGCAACCATCTACAAAAACAATGAGTAATTTTTCTACTTTGAAGATCTACAAATGGGGGAAAACCTTGTTTTGGAATTCTGTTCTATTCCTCAGTATCCAGAAAGTTTCCGACACAGTAAAAGAAGGAAAGTTCTACCCTAAGAGCCACCATCACTGCAGATTGCTGATTTGTCAGCCATCTGTTACTTCTTATTGATAGATGGTATTGGAATGTGGTACAAAGTTAGCTCCGAAGAATATAATAATGAAGACAATAAGTATGCACTGTAAGAACTGACCTCAGGTGTGCAGATCTACTTTGATTTGGGGTTTTGATGAATTATTTTCTGAAAAAAAGTTTAAATAATGCCTGCAACTATTGTGTTTTTTCCTGCAGAATAGCCAGGTGCTACAGATTTTTTAAATTGTTGTTGTATTGAAAAGCTAAACAAGGCCAAAAGGTTAAATTTTTTGAATATTTAAGACTTTCCTTTTTATCTTTTATAGCATTACCATAGGAAACTGTTCCAAACTGAGTTAGCTTTAATTATAATTATTTTATTTATAAATGGTGATAGTCCCCAAATCTGTACACCTTTCTCACTCTCTGCAGTAGATATACTTTAGGATAGTATTTCTACATTCATGGCAAGCATTTTGCTAACACCAGTGTTTTTCATTGTGAATTTTATCACTATTACTAAGAATGCAATTTAAGTTGCCTTTTGGCATCATATATCATAAAACTTTCTCTCTGAATCATACCCATGTGTGGATTTTCATTTTATATGATAGTGTAGCATATTAGAATCATATTTTAAAGTAGGACCTTTGAGAAATTGAAAAAACATTTATTTGAAGTTCACCATAGTACCTTAAAGGAACAAAGGGAATGTGGGATAGGAGTAACTTGAATTCGTGTTTAGTATGGTGGGCTTTGAATTTTTTTCACTATCAAAAATAGTGCTTTTCTGTAGTTAAAAATTATAATTTTTCTTTTTTTGTGTCCAAACTAACATAAAAGTAGTGGTCAAAGAAGGAAAGAAAGAAAAATGAGGGAGGATGTCCAAACTTTATGGCATTTTACTCCTTTTGAAAGAGAAATACTGTACTTGAATTTTTGACCTATGCAGACTTATACCTAGAATGTTTATTTCTTCGATTCTTAGGAGGAAAGCTTTCTTCCTAATGATTCTTGAGAACTTTTTATTTTGTTTGGAAAACTGTTTCCTATGTATATAAAAAGGGTAGTTACCCATTTGTGAGTACTTAAAACACTCCACAGAGTCAGATAGTGGGAAAGGTCACCTTTTTTAAATTCAGCAGGTATAAAGTTAGAATGTATGGAATTGTGCATAAAATTATATTTTATTTTATGGAAATATTTTTGTATAATAAAATTTAAAAGGCTAGCAAGCTAAAATAAAAAAGTTGTCTTTAATCCTAGTGTGTTTTCCCAATTTACTCTTTTCTAAAATTTCTCTGTTTAGAATAGAAAATATCATATCCTGAGAATCACAGAATCATCTAAGTATGTCTTATTGAACTGAGGTAATTGCCGGTCTTATTCTTCTTGTGCTTTGGTAAATGAATGATATTTTAGTTGATAGTGAAAGTAAATGTGTTTTATATTTTTAGAGTGAGGGAAAAATAGTAAACTTTAGAGAGTTTTGTTGTTGTTGCTAGTTTTTTTTTACCATGTTGTCCTACTAAATTTCACTTTGATACAGAATTTAAATTTTGTAACGTCTCAAAATCAGTTAAGATTCTTCAGTTTTACCTGTACATCTTGACATTGCTCCTTTAATGTATGTTAGTTAACCCTGCATATGGCAAATCTTGTCTTGAATTATATCAATTCCTCTCTCTCTCTCTCTCTCTCGTGTGTGTGTGTGTGTGTGTGTGTGTGTGTGTGTGTGGTGTGGGGGGTGTTGCTATGAGTAAAACCTTATCAAAACTTGGTCTAACATAATAGATAACTCATGATCCATTGCTATCTTTATTACCCAAAGGCTGTTCATTACTATGGTACCAGATCCATAATAGTTGTAGTTCTTATTTTTTGTGGCCCTTACCTTAATTATTTGTAGTTTTAGTAAGTGTTGCCTCAGTTTTTCCCATAGAATTCCAAAATTTTAATGTTTAATTAACCTATCTATATAGGACTTCTGAAAACCACATCAGGAATGAATGTAAGGTTAAATAAGAGGTAGAATTCATAAGGTAATAGGTATAATGGTAGCTTTCAAAATTTTATTTTCTCAAAACATGTCTTAGCCACTGTATTTCTGAGAACTCAGACTGAAGCACAGAAGTCACAGTATGCTTCTTTTATTTAAGCACACGATTCATGACACAGGTACATGTTGAATAAGTGTTCTCATTGCAGAGAGGTCTACTTGAATATAAAAGGGACATCATACTAGATTATTTTTGAAACGATAGAATAGGAAATCTAGAGTTGTGGAAGAAATATTTATGCTTTGGAGATCTAAAAAATTTGAATGTAAGAATTGGAGGAGTCTAGTTTGTTCTGTTAACATAAAGTGACTAGATATATTAAACTGCAAGTCCTGTCAGCTTCACCATAAGCTTGGGCCTTCTTCCATCTTGTTTTATTTAAGTCTCTTTAAGTGAAATTTTGTTGTCATTGTTTTAGCATTCATGAACTTGCTTACCATCACAGGTTTTACCTTAATTTTCTTTGCCATATGTTTTTCCATTTTATGGAACATTAGCCACCATAGAAACGTAAGAGTTGTCAGAAGACTCCTGGGTATAGCGAGCAAATCGACCTGCATCAGTACTATAGGGTACCAAACAGACTCCTTTCATGTAATCCCAGCATTTGAGGATTCCAAGTTGGGCAGACAATTTGAGGCCAGGAGTTCTAGACCAGCCTGGCTAACATGGCAAAACCCATCTCTACTAAAAATATAAAAATAGCTGAGCATGGTGGCACACATCTGTAATCCCAGCTGCTCAGGAGGCATGAGAACCACTTGAACCCAGGAGGCAGAGGTTGCAGTGAGCCAAGGTTGTGCCACTGCACTCCAACCTGGGTGACAGAGTGACTGTCTCAAAAAAAGTTCGTTAAGTGTTGATTTTGTTGGATTAAAGACTGCTTGTTGAGGTGGATTTTAAAAAGAGTCTGTTCAAACCAACTGCCTGGAACCATAATCTGCCGTCAGATTGCTAAACTTTCACATAATCCCTGTGTTTCCTAGGGCTACAGGGAAGGTAAACACATCTCAGATAAGCCATCTCCAAGGATAGCAGTTCCTGGGCTGCAAAACTAGATCTGGATTTTGTTACGTAGGCATCTCTAAAATCTGAGCTCATGGATATGACGTATCTCTTCTTTTCACCTTTGCCTTTGCTACTTTTATATTTGTTAGAATTACATTTCTTTTTAAATTTTGAGCTTCCTTCCCCCTTCACCCCATTTGTATTTTTAAAAACTAAGGTATATGTATTTGCTGGGTTTTGCATTCTTTTATTTTGTGTTCCATTCCCTGCTTTGCCAAATAAGTACCACATGAAAAGTGGAGGTCCAGAAGTATGGTAAATCTTCTCCCTTAACCTTATTGCCTGTGTGGCTGATAGCTAACAGAAAAATTCAGTTTTGTTTTTTTTTCCAGTGTTTTTTTTGGGGGAGTATATACTTTTAAAATGTACATATATGTTTTTGATAGTTTTTATATTCTTTCATTTTGTATATTTTTGTCCTGATGAAGAGTGATATATATCATCCTATGAAAATTTCATCTACCCTTCCCATGTTACCTATATGGGCAATAGGTACAGCTACAGACTAGCTATTTGGTTTCCTTCTTTGGAAGAAAGTGATGATGTTGAGAGGTGAGCAGGGTATGTTCTTTTAAAAGTGTATACAAATGTTTTTGCTGCTATTTTGTGTTACTTCATTTTGTATTTCATGCATCCATTTTGTGGACATGTAGATAAAACATGGTGATCCGAAAGCATGACAGATGTCCCCTTTGCCTTTCTCCTAATTGTTCACATGAACAATAACTAACAGAGCAGTCCTCGTTACTGTTATTTTGACTAGTCTTGTGGGCTGGGGTTGTATATTATTCTTTCAAGTGTGTATAAATATTGTGCCACCTCTTTCTACTTCATTTTGTACTTGTTTCCTTCTATAGATGTATATATATACTTAATGAAAATTGAGGTTCGGAGTATGACAAATTTCCTCTTCTCCCTTTTCCTTATTGCCTTTTTAGGCAATAGCTAATAGAGTAGTTTGTTTTGTTTTGGGGTGTGAGAGAGAATGGAGTAGGTACTTAATGTATATAAATATACTTGCTACTACATTGTATTACTAATTTAATTCACACTGTGTCCTTCTCGTGGACGTGAAAGTACCAGTGAAATGTGGTGATCTTGATGTATAACAGTTTCCCATTTTCCCATCCCTGTTGACCACTGGGCAGTAGCTAACAGAGTAGTTGTCAAATGGGGTATTTGAGGTGAAGGGGAGGGATGGGGAAGGTAGGAAAATGCACTTACGTTTTTACTACTCATTCTATTAATTCATCGGGTGCCCAGACTGAAAGGTACATAATGAACCACGGGATTCCAGATGTATAACAATCTCTCTTTCCCTTTCCCTTATTGCCCATGTGGGCAGTACTTAGAGTAGTTTGGGTTTATTGAAGATATTTTGCTAGGAGAGAGAAAGTGGTTTCAGAGTAAAAGCATATACTTTTAAAATGTATATAAATGTTTTTGCTACTTTTATGTCACTACCTTTCTTACCTTGTCCTTTCCATGGATATATGAGGAAAATTGAGGTTCAGCCTGCAACAACTCTCCTCTTCTCCCCTTCCCTTAGATTGCCTGTGTGGGCAGTGTCTAAGAGAATAGTTGATTAGCTTCAGGGATTCTTCTGTGGGTATTGGGGTATATACTTTTGTATATGTATGAACACATTTTTACTTCTTTATTATAGTGTTTCATTGGGTACCTGGTCCTTCACTTGGACATGTAGGTTCCTAATGAGCCATGGAGTTATGGATGTGTAACAGTCTCTTCTCCCTTAACCCTTTTTATGTATATGGGTAATAATTTTAAAGTAGCTTGAATTTTTTGAAGTTTTGAGGGGCGGGAGGGGTCTAAGGGCAGAATATATACGCTTAAAAAATATATATATGCTTTTTATTACTACATTGTATTAGTTCATGCTGTATCAAGTCCATTGCTTGGACTTACAGGTACCTAATTAAACGTGGAGGTCCGGATGTATGAAAATCTCCTCTTTTCCCCTTTCCTTATTGCCTGTGTGGGCAATAATTATAGAGTAGTATAGATGGTTTTTCTTTTTCACTCCATCTCCCTGTCTCCAGGAGAGCGGATGTGTACTTTTAGAAATGTATATAAATGTTCTCGTTCCTTTTTCCAGTTGCTTCATTGTGTGCCTAGGCCTTTCCATGGTTACTTAGGTACGTAATGAAAGTTGGGGTTCATTCTATGAAAAATCTCCCCTTCTCCCCTTCCCTTATTGCCTGTCTGGGCAATGGCTAGTAGAGTAGTTGTTTAAGGGTTTGTGTTTTTTGTTTATTTTTGGTGGGTGGGAGGTGGGGGATTTCTGGGTTTGTCTTTGTCTTTTGTTTAAATGTATATAAAAGTTTGCTAGTATTTGTTGTTGTTGTTCTTTCACTCTCAAGCCAGTTTTTTGTTTGGAGTTGTAGGAATCAAATGTAATGAGGGACCCAGACCCAGGATTGTGGTAAATATTCTTTTCCTTCCTCAGAGCCTGTGTACACAAACAATAGTATATGAGCACTGCAGGGCTTTGGTTTTGGCTTTTTGCTTTTGAGGGTGTTAATGAGGTATGGGTTTGTGAGAGGAAAAGGCAAGATATATAATTTTTTTTAATGTGTATAAATGTTTTGCCACTTTTTGGTGTTAACTTTATTTTGAATCTGGTCCTTTGCATGACCACTTAGGTAGAAATAAAGTTGAGATTGACTCTATGAAAAATCTCCCATACTCCCCATCCCTCATTGCCTAGTGGGCAATGGTAGAGTAGATGTTTGGTTTCTTTTGGGGGGGTGTCTGGGGTGTGTGTTTTTATGTGTGTATACACACACACACACAAGAACACACATACTTACGTGTATATACATTTTATATATTCTCTCTATATACACATATTTTAATGTATATAAATATTTGCTACATGCTGTGTGTTATATAATGTGGTCCCTCTGCTGGGACGTGTATGTACATAATGAAACATGGAGGTCCAGACGTATGATAACTCTCCTGTTTCCCTTCCCTTGTTGCCTGCAGGGGCAATCATTTCATATCTTGGGTTTTTTATTGTTTAATTTTTATTTTTTTGCAGGGAGGGGTTCTTTGGGTGGGTAATGGTCAGGGGAAAAGGACAGTGTCTATACTTTTTAAAGATGTATATAAATGTTTTCATGTTACTGATTTTGTACCTAGTCCTTTGCATGGATATATAGGTACCTAATGAAAATTGAGGATCAGTGTATGACAAATCTCCCATCCTCCCCTTTCCTTATTGCCTGTGTCAGCAATAGCAAATAGAATAGTCATGTGTTCTTTACTTACTTGTCTGTTTTGGAGAGATTTCTTTTTTTGTTAGGGAAATATTCTTAATAAATATAAATATGTTTTCATATCTTTATTTCGTTTTGTAGTCTTTTGCATGGCTATGTAGGGATGTAATGAAAGTTGAGTTTCATAATATGACAGCTCACTTCTTCCTTTGCTACATATTCCTCACTTAGCAGTAGTTAGTATGGTTGTTTTGTGGTTATTTTATTTTATTCTCTAGGATCTAGTCCATTAAGGATGCAAACATATAGATGAACATATATAATTTGCTTTTTTTTTACTTCATTATTTTCCTTTAACACTTAGTCCTTTGCAGGGGTCTGACTGTACCTAACAAAAATAAACACCTACTAAATCCCTGCCATCTGGCTTGAAGGTGTAGCAGTGTAGTGATGTAGCTAATGGCAACAGGTGTGCAGCAGATAAGATGGGGAAGACAGTTGGATATGGTTGAGCTGTGAAAGCTAATTAGATCCAGCATTTCTTATGGTGATTCAGATTGAATGAGATAGTGAAAAAGGACCTGTGCTTTTGTAAATTCTAGAAAGGCGAGAGGACAGTACTGAATAAAGGTGTGTTTAAACTTCATTGCTGATATATCTTTTAGTAACTAGTAAACCGGTGAAGCTGATAAGCCAATAAGAGTGCTGTCTAGAAATCATTTTTAAACCCTTAAGAGTAGCTTCTTTTTGAAGCCTGGAATTCTGATTCATCTATAGAAGTTTATTATGATTCCATCTATAGTATAGCTTGCGTACCTAGTAGAAATTGTTTCTTGGAATGAACTTTTTGAGTTATTGACATGGCTCCAATGAATAACAACATGAGCCCTAAAACTAATCCAAAAGGAATTTTCTCTTTCAAACCCCACATCTGGCAAGACAAGTTGGCCCTGTCCCACCAGAGTTCTTTTGTGTGGCTGCATCTTTCTCCTCTGTTCTCCATTGTGTGCTTTCCATTTTGACTTTTGTGCCTATACGGTTAGATGTTTTCTTCACTGGAATTCACAAATTGTATTTTGTGTGCATATCATGTATCCAGACCTGTATATTTGCTTTAAGCATTCTTTTATCACCGCGTCTCTTTATCTACCATATGGTAAATGTTAAAACTCCACATTTGTCTGCATCAAAGAAAATGCATATGGACATTTTCTCCCTCCCTCCTTCTCTACTTTCCTCCCTCCCTTCAAGCCTCTTAAGAGTGTTTGTTTTCTCATTTATGATTCCATGCTGAAGATTTGCCATATTACTATTTTGGTAACATTGAGTGATAGAACTCCCAGAAAATTTGCAAAGCAGTGTTATATACTGTATATTAAACTCAGGTTCTAGTGTTGAACAATTAGCCTATATACTTTGCTATTACTTATACCTGCTGCCGTAGGAAAAAAAAAATGTTTATTCATGACACATTTAAATTTGATCATAAATGAAAGAAAAAGGGGCACCTTTTTGGAGTTAGTCATGGTAGTCATTAGTGATATTTCTGAACAGTTCTTAATTTAAAATACTTCAGAGGAAGTAAAGGTCATGGCTTAGCTGGAGGAAATGCTCCAGAAGTTTCAACTGTATAAACCATCAGTACAATAATACTCTGTGTATGTATGTGTATATAAAATGAGAATTACAGCGTAATTGGAGCATTTGCATCGATCAACAAACTCACATTGAGACAAAACTTAGTCTTACAGCTGTCGTGATTAAAGCCAAGTGTTCTATGTTGCTGTGAAGAATAGTCTCTTTCAAATACTTTGGAAAGTAGTTACTTGGAAACTTGTAAAGGTATTACACTTTTATATTTAAACCCCTATAGAGATCTTCAATTCCTTGAGTCTGAGCTTGTAGGTGGACTTCTAAATTTGTATTATAATCTGTCTTTTGTGAGATTTTGAAAATACATATATACAATATTGTATATGCAAATTGTGTTGTTTTACTTGTAAAGGGAAAAGGCTTATTTTTCTTTATATTTCTGATAACTTGTTTTGCATATGACCAGCACTGACTGAAAGGCATGTTTAACTGCAAACACTGTTGCTTTTTTGTGAAATGAAAATAAAGTATTTAAATACAAATATTGTGTGGCCTTTTTGGGTTTATATATGTATATATAAAGTGCTATTTCTTCTTGGGTTATGGCCTCTACCTGGGCAGTTCCTGTATTCATTGTCTTTTGTGGTTAGCTTTGTGTTTCACCAGTATCCAGTATCTTTACTGCATATACCTCAGTAGACATTTGACATTTGGAGGTGGCTAAGTTTTTGTTGCGAGGGCAGTTCTGTGCATCACAGGACATTTAGCATCATCCCTCCCAGGCCAATTGCAACTAGTTTCCAATAGAAACTCCTGTCCCCAGTTGTGACAACTAAAACCCCTCCTCCAGACATTGCCAAATGTCCTAAGAGGTGAAGATTAAAACTTTCAGTGGATGCATAGGGCAGGGAGCCCAGTAACAGTCACAGGAGCTCCATCAGGACCATTATTTACTTTTTGGACTAAAGCAGTTCTTGTAAACACTTAGGTCATCTAAGTAGCCAACTGATGCCGTAGTCATACAGTACCTAAATCAGGGTACAATAATACTCTGTGTATGTATGTGTATATAAAATGAGAATTATGGTGTAATTGGGGCATTACATTTCACATGTTGTATGCCAGTTAAACCAAGGAACACTGTCTTATTTTCAAGGTGAAACATTGGACGTTATCAGGGAAATATCCCTTGTGTTGATTCACATATAAGTGGGAGAATGAGTGCACAACCTTTTTAGCGGCATACTGCCACAGTTATATTCCTGGTCAGGTCTACAAAAGGAGCTTCTCGGTTCTGTCTGCATGAGTAGCCTTGAGGGAGAATTGAGAATTTCTTAGGCTTCTAGAAATATGAACTAGAATATGTATTCTTTTACAATAATTGTTAGGGCTTAAAGTAGGGCGTTCGAAGGCAAAGTTAGTAAGTCTTAACTTTCATACTATTTCCATACCCAAAATCCTGTTTCTGAGGACACAAAACCTTGATGCATGCCCTTTTAAAATCTCTTGTAGTGATCGTTACCAACATATAGGGAAATGTTCTTAAAAATTGTGAAGATTTTGATCAAAAACTTCTGGTTAAACTTTTTATGCTTTTTAATTCACAGATACCAGCAGTAAACATTTGAACTAAGACCCATTATAAATGTAAAGAACACTTTGATTCCAATAGACTTTTTGGGTGGAGAGTAATAATAACCTTTGTCTATTTTTCTAAAGTATTTTTAGAACTAATGGTACAGAAGAATGATTCAGTTATATCTTCTTTTTGCTTCTTCAATTCTGACATAAAGCCCACCCAGCCCCCACCACCAACACACACACAAAGTCTCTGGTGTTTACTAAAACTTGTGTGCAAGTTAAACAGTTGACTTATCTCTATAGAGAGGTGCTTTTTTGCTAGAGAGCAAAAACATACTTTTAAGTCATTAATTACACCCACCTTCTAGATACATAATTCCCAATGCTCTGTGCTTGTTTACTTTTATTATTTCTCTTCATGGATGACCTCCAGTCAACTGGCCAAAGTTCAGTTGAGATGAAATGCACTTTTGGTACCCCTATAATTTCTTTTGTTGGCTGAGCTGAATAAACAGGACCTTGGCTTACACAAAATAAGTTTCATTCTTGCTTTCCTATTCTCGTTTGTGTTTATAAAACAAGAACCTGTGTGATAACAAAATAGCAGTCATCAGTGTTGAACTGTTGACTAGCAGGCAACGCCAGGAAGCAATAGTTTGAAAGGAAGTTGGGACATACAAGACGCCACTTCAGCATAGGAAAGACAATTTAGGGCTGTCAGTGTGTTGCTTATTAAAGTGTCATTTGTGTACAAACCAAATGTGGGAAACTGAAAGTTCTTTTGTTGAGTGTTTTCTGATGCTGTTGCTCTTCTATGTGAATGCAGCTGAAAAGATATTTGGGTCCTACACGCAGGATTGCACACAGGCCGTCCTGTGGGTTCAGTGGGTGTTTATGTCTTCATTTTCTTTTTTCTCAAAGTCCACTGCAATTTTTAACTTAAGCAAAATTATTGGAATATTACTATTATCACATAACAAAAGGTAAGAATTTCAAGAAATTTACTTAAAAGGCTATAGAATATAGGCTGGTATCAATTGAACTAGAATTTATTTCTGGTTCAATCATTTTCCACTTAGAGAGTTGTTACCAATTCCTGTTCACCTCAGTTTCCTCCATTTATAAAACCTAGATACTGCCTACTTACCTGCCTTGCAGGGTTGTTAGCACTAAATAAAATAACCTGTAATTGTCTAGTATAGTGCCTAGCCCAGGCAGAGTATTAGCTGTCATTGTTAAAACCGCTAGCTGCTTAATGAGGTGTATGGATATTAATATCTTCAGCTACAGATGGAAATGAGTTTGTAAAATTGAATAAGGTTATATGACTTGCCAGTTAGGAAATTACAGATATAACTTTAATATGCTTTTTATTTAGCCTCACATATGTAAAGATTTTATTTGAGAGGCATTATATTTGTAAAAGTGTGCAGTTGTATAGGTTTCACAACTGAAGTTAAATTCTGGCTGTTGCTGAATTTGATTAATTAAAAGTAGATATAAAACAAAATCCTGACTCTTGACTAATCTGCAAAGAATATCTACTTTACAGTAATAGCATGAAGAACAGAAATACACCTGGTGCTTCCTAAGTGCTCCACAACTACTCCTTTCCTTCTCTCAGTTTATTTGCCTAAGTATGCAAATGACTCGAGCACGCCTGAGTCTCCATTCTAGCTAGAAAACATTGTTTGCAATTTATGTGTTAGATGGCAGGATGCAGAGAAATTGGCCAAATATTTTAGGATCTTGGATTATTAGTGCTAAAAGGAAAACTTCCCTTCCACATGACCTAGTCTAAATTCCCTCCTTTTACAGATTAAGGGCATTAAGAAGTTATGCTTGAGCTAAAATCCCACATGATATTATATGTTAAATTTGTATATGTTTTTAGATGAGAAACAGTTTGTATGCATCATTTTTGAGACAAATGATGTGCAATTGCCTGTGGAATACTGTTTCTCTGGAGAAGAGACTATTAGAATTTGCTATTGGAAGAGGAGTTTCATTAATGTTGAGTGCAGAGCTAAATTAAACTATCTTAATGTTTTCACTTTTAAATTTAATAATAGTGTGAATGATTCAAATAACACGATATCAAAAGAGTAGCATTTGTTTTGAATGTTTAAATGAAGTGAATAGCATTGAAGTAATCTCTCTCAGGTAATGTCAGAAGGTTCAGACACTCTCTCACCACCACCGAGGATCTCAGGAAGGAGGGAGGGTGGTTAGCACTGGCAAAGTAACAACTGCCATATTGGTTGATGAGCTGGATGAAAATAACATAAACAGTAAGTTTCACTGACTACAGGTAGAAGGTGAAAACCATTTTCCTAAAGTACAGTCATGTGCCTCAATGATGGCCCCATAAGACTATGATGGAGCTGAAAAATTCTTATTGCCTTGTGACATCTTGATGATTCTGACCCCATGTAGGCCTAGGCTAACGTGTGTGGTTTTGTCTTCGTTTTTAACAAAAAAGTTTAGAAAGAAATTAAAATTATTATTATTTTTTTTTTGAGACAGTTTCACTCTTGTTACCCAGGTTGGAGTGCAATGGCGTGATCTTGGCTCACCGCAACCTCTGCCCTTTGGGTTCCGGCAATTCTCCGGCCTCAACCTCCTGAGTAGCTGGAATTACAGGCACGCACCACTGTGCCCAGCTAATTTTTTTGTAATTTTTAGTAGAGACGGGGTTTCACCATGTTGACCAGGATGGTCTCGATCTGTTAACCTCGTGATCCATCCGCCTCGGCCTCCCAAAGTGCTGGGATTACAGGCTTGAGCCACTGCGCCTGGCCTAATTAAAATTTTTTAATAGAAAACACAGAATAAGCTATAAAGAAAATTATTTTGTACAACTGTACAGTATGTTTGTGTTTAAACTATGTTATCGCGAACGAGTGAAAAGTTAAAAAATTTAAAACAGTAAAAGTTTATACCAAGCTAAGGTTATTTTTGAAGAAAGAAAAATTCTTGTATTAACTTAGCATAGCCTAAGTGTACAGTGTTTATAAAGTCAACAGTAGTGTGCAGTAATGTCCTAGGCCTTCACATTCACTCACCGTTCACTGACTCATCCAGAGCAACTTCTAGTCCTGCAAGCTCCATTCATGGTAGGTGTTCTACACAGCTGCACCATTTTAAAAATCTTTTACACTGTATTTAGACATATATAGCTGCACAAATAACATTGTGTTATAATTGCCTATAGTATTCAGTACAGTCACATGCTGTTCAGGTTTGTAGTCTAGGAGTGAAGCAATAGGCTATACCATATATAGGTGTGTAGTAGGCTAAACCATCAAGTAGTAGGCTAGTACATACTAGGTGTGTAGTAGACTAAACCATCAAGATTTGTGTTATTTGCACCATGATGAAATCAGCAACCAATTTGCATGACTATAGTTTGAAATCAGCCCGAGATGGGGCCTTCTATCCTCAGCCACAGAAAACTTGGAAAGCAGACTGACATCCTTTCCTATTTTCCTCTCTGTCTCTTCCACCCCGCCCCCACTCCTTTCTCCTCTCTCCTCCTCTCTCTCTCTTCTTTCCCTTTCTTTTTTTTCTTTTTTTTTTTTGGACAGAGTCTCACTCTGCCACCCAGGCTGGAGTGCAATGGCACAATAATGACTCACTGCAGCCTCGGCCTCCTGAGCTCAAAACTATCTTCCTATCTCAGCCTCCCGAGTAGCTGGGATCACAGGTGTGTGCCACCATGCCTGGTTAACTTTAAAATTTGTGTAAAGATGGGGGTCTCTCTATGCTGCTTAGGTTGGTCTTGAACTACTGAGCTCAAGTGATTCTCCCACCTCAGCCACCCAAAGTGCTGGGATGACAGACCTGAGCCACCACACCCAGCCCCTTTCCTATTTTTCAACAGACCCCGCTTCTGTTGCCAGAAGGACAGGAACTTCAAGAAGTCTACAGTCATCGGAAAAGAGGCAATATTAAAACAATT